CCTCGAACATTATTTAAATTTATTGAAGCATACGGATGAAAACATTGCCCTGTATGACTAGAATTACGGGCTACCATAGATGAACAACGCGTATTTTGTTGATTAATTGGTAGACCAGGCAATAGATTGCTGTTGTGCATTTGAACATCATTTGACAATAGTGATAAATAATTAAGTTCTTGTTGACAAATTGGTGGACTAAATAATAGATCGATGCTGTGCATTTGAATAGAATTTGATGATGATAATAAATTATAAAGATTTTGTTGTTGAGCAAGTGCTTGATCAAGTAATGAATCAATATCGGACATTTGAAAAGAATTTGATGTTAATGATAAATTATTAAGATCTTGTTGACAAATTGGTGGACTAAATAATGGAGGGTGTGGATGGGTGCAGATCTGGTTGTGAGTGTGTCGGCGGGGCATAGATGGAAAAAACACTTACATCCACACCCACACCCTCTACTAGCAAAAATCGAAAGTATAGAATGATAAATTGGCACATGTCGGACTATATAACCCAAGGGGGGAAAATCTCATTCGGACAGTCGGAGCCATTCGCTTCTATTCGCGACCAATCGCTGCCATTCGCTGCCAATCGCGACCAATCGCTGTAAATTGCAGTCAACCGCTGCCAATCGCAGCCAATTGCAATCAATCGCAGCCAATCGCTGCCATTCGGAGCCATTCGAGTGGCTCCGAATGAGCTTCCCCCCCCCCCCTTGTCACAGCCACACCACTCACACTCGCATCCACATCTTACCCACATCCACACCCAGCCCTATAGCACGATGTTTAACCGAGATATGCACCAAACAAGGAGCATAAAATAGCTCTTTAGTATCTCCAAGTTTTCTCTGTGGGTCTTCATTCTAGACATTTAATTTTTTTTTGTTTGAAAGAGCATGTCAGAATGCAGCGACTCTCGTGACCCTTTTTTTTTAAAGTCTTACTTTTTAGGGGAAAAAAACCGGAGCGAAAATTCAGTGACTTAAAAAACCTCTCTAAAAATTGTGCTGCTCGGATAGAGATGTTATCTTCTATGATAATAAAAAAGTTTATTTTGAAAAAAGGGCCACGAGAGTCGCTAGCCCTGCACATAAGCTTTCAAACAAAAAAAAACATTTGGCTTTATCTCTTACTGTGATGGAGTTCTGCTGGAGATACGTCGTTGAACCCACATTCTGAGAAAAACGAAGAATGATTTTTGATTTTTTTTGTAAAAACCGATTATTTTTAGAATAGGGGGTGACAAAAATCTTCCAGAATTTTCGGAAAAAAAGAGGTGTTGAGTAAAAGTTTTTGTCATTTATGAAAGAGCATTTGACGAGCTATATCCCCATGAGGTTATCTCAATTTCGATCATTTTGACGAAAAGTGACTTTTTTGAGGGGGGGGGGGGGGGGAGTTGCCTTAAACATGGACAAGTATGTCAGAAATACATATAATAACTATGATGATGAAGATGATCATCAACAGAACAACAATACTCATCTTGATCTCGAAGATGAAGATCATTATATAATCGAGTCTGTTTACAATGATCTAGTAAGTATTGAATCTTATTGCTAAGTTAGAGTTATATTTTTAAACTCTTCTAGAACCTAAACAATTCAATTATTTGCCAACACGCTAATGATACGAGCAGTAATAAAATGCAGCATAATATTATCGACACATCTATTTCTGACGAAGACAACCATTCTTTTTACTTAAGATCATCTTCGCTCGATTTGGTATGCGATATTTCTTTGTCTCTTTTTTAGATTATACGCATTAAGAATGATAGCCTTAAAGTTCTTTGTTTTTCTTTGATTGTTCATATTTAGAATACACAAGAATTAGAAACAAATTCACAGGGCACCAAACAAAAGTATGCAAAACTAGTGGTCGATGATAGTATGTCTCAACAACGTGTGTCAAGTCGAGTAAGAATAATAAAATTTTCCGGATTCTAATTTCTTGCAACTGTTTATTCATTGAGATTATTTCAAGTAAAAAGATTCGTGAAATATAAATGTGTTCATTTTTCTTTCAGTCAACTCAAGATTTTATTCTTTCTCATTATATTATTTAGAATTTTATATTTTTTCACTTTGATTTACATTTTTTCTTATTGTTTTCCTCTCGTATTTTTTTTAATTATTTTTATTTTTGATACCTCTAATTCGATTTATAATAAAATGAATTCATTTGATGAACATGAATGAAAATAGTACTCAGTGATGCCTGGAAAAACATTTTTAAAAGTTCGCATCTTAATCACAAAAATGTGAAGACACAAATGAAATATTCGATGACATATGGACAGTTTGAGTACAATTTATTTCTTCTCTTCAAGGACAATATGTAGGAACTGCCTGGTATCTAATGTAAAAAGTTATGATTTAACCATTATGCTAATGTAGTCACCATCGTTACTATGGAAACAACCTTCTCAATGATGACTATTTGAGAAAAAAAGATAGTTGTCTCAAACAAGATTAGTGTTAAATTGTTTCATATCTTATTCTGGTTTAGGATAAATTAGAATTCTTTTGATTTTTTCATTACCCGACTTTTACCTACGGATATCGATAGTGAGAAGTGTGTCTGCTATTGATAGGCCGAACGAGATGACTTTTTTCTGAGAGGCAGTATACCAGTTTTCCAAGTCTGTAGAACTAAGACAATGATATTATAAGTCGCCGAAAGCGGCGAAAACTGTTGACATTTGTACAAGAATTGTGTTGCGCTGCTGAAATCTATCAATCTGATAAAAAGAAAAAGTATTTCATCTTATCCCAGCCTATGAAGTGTAAATCTAGAGTGGGTTTGCGTCAACTCAATCTTTGCAGTTCTGCTGTCAAAAAAGTTATCGACAGATTTCATTGACTTCAAGTCGAAAATACTACTTTCTAAGAATTACTGACAGTTTCAGAAACAATTTATTTCTTGACGAGTAATGACACTATAAATACGAATTTTTAAATATTTTATTTTTATGAAGTATTATAAGTATTAATCAAAATATTTAAAGAACTCTATCGTCTAAGTTCATGTCTATAATTTTCGATATATATTAAATATTTTCAAAAAATTTTGTGTTGATTTATCAAAAGAACTAGGTTGTCATTATCCAAGTGACTATGAACGTCATCTATTAACTATCCATATAATATCACCATATGTCCAAAATGATATAGTTCTTTCAATGAATGATTGATTGCTCTGTTCTGTTTTTCTTCCTTTTATAACTTAGGTTGTAATCGATGAATGTAACTTGTGATTACTTCTTATTGTGTTAGTTTTTTTTCACTTAAGTGTCAGTATTATATTCAATCAAAAAAAGATATGGACATCGAACAAGCACATATAAAATATTCATTAAAACGACGTCGTCTTCTATTTAGTAAAGCAAAATTGAAAGCTGTTTCACGTACAAGTGCACTTCTATCCGGATTTGCTATGGTCAGTGATTTATTTTTCTTGTATGTATTGTGTGAATATTATCATCTTATCGAGGTTTTTTTTTCTATTATAATAATTGAACAGGTTGCAATGGTTGAAATTTCATTAGATGATCATAAAAATTCTAAAAGTTCAGCACCTTTATTAGTTGTCTATTCCATTATAACATGTCTTCTTGTTGGTGTACATCTATTAGCATTAATGATTAGTACATGTATATTACCACAATTAGAAGCTGATAGTTTACTTGGTTCTGATGAATATGCATCCCATACAACAATGCACATTTATATTGAATTAGCTTGGATATTAAGTACTGGGTTTGGTAAGAATTCTTTTTTTGTTTTTTCTAAATGTAAAATCTAATTATTTATTTTGATTTAGGTATATTTTTATTTCTAATTGAAATAGCAATTGTATGTTGGGTGAAATTTTTCTTTGTAACACGTCCAGCTGCAATAGCAACAACAATTGTTCTTGTACCAGTTGTAATATTATTTTGTATATTTTCATTACATTTTTATCGACGTCTTGTTTCATTTAAATTAAGTCGCCATCAAGATGAATTAGATGAAATTGAAAATACATTAACAACTGGAAAACTTGCTCAAGCTAATATTGTTTAATTAACTAAAATAAAATACATGACTATTTTTTTTCTTATTTTTAGGACTTATAATCTCATACAATAAAAATAATGTTTAATGTCTTTTTTTTTCTTGTCTATGACACAAAAATATATACTATTATTCTGTGTTTGTAGATTTTTATTTGATTTTATTAACATTTGTTAATAATGACAGTGGAAAAAGGTGAAGCAATTAAAGAAAAAGGTTAGAACATTCATTGATATCGTTCAGCCACGTTTTGAATGTTTAAATAAGTTTTCTTTCTAACAAAATTTATTAAAAATTATAAGTTGTTCATCTTGTTGAGCTAATAAGATATAGATATCTAAAGTTTTTTTTTGTTCTCAGTCAAAATATATGATGTGATAGAATTGTAGAATGAATCGATATAAGACCTTAGTATTAATTCTATGGCTTATCATCCAACGTTCAAAATCATTTTTGCAGATATTATAATTGGAAATCTACCTACGACCTAGAAATTCGCAATTCAAGGAAAATCAAAGAATAAGACGAAGATTCTGACTGCAGCTGTTGGTAATCATCTTCCTTCACTCAACTCAATTAAATTCACAACTACACCCATACTTCATTTTCCTTGAATTGATAATTTCTGGAGTGTAGATATTGCTGAAATAAAATAAGTCCGATTGATTGAAGTCTTGTCCAGAATCATACATTGATTCTTATGTTCCTTATGAACCAAGGTAGTCCAACTGAAGTTAATTGATTTCGTTTCTTTTAATAGGCAATAATCATTTTTTACAGAAAAAATATAATGATGCAATTAGTTGTTATAATCAAGCATTAAAACAAAATGGTGAAAAAGCTACCTATTATGTTAATCGTGCATTATGTTATATAAAATTAAAACAATGGGATAAAGTATATCAAGATGTTCATCATAGTCTTGATCTTGATCCAAATTATATCAAAGCTCATGCTTATTTAGGTCAATATTATATTGAACAACAACAATATGATGAAGCAATAACATGTTTTAAACGAGCACTTGAATTATGCAAAGTTTGTTATGTTGAAAAAAAAAATTAATTTAAGAAAATCATTTTTGTTTTTCTTTTTGTTGTAATAGATTCAAAATAAAAATTTTGGTAATGAAATTCAAAGACTTTTACATTATACACAAAAATGTCGTTTTTCATTAATGGAACAAGAACGTATTGAAAATGACAATAGTTTACAAACATATCTTCATTCATTAATACAAACAGATAAAGAACGACGTATGCAATTATGTATTGAAAAATATTTCGAAGATAATAAAGTTAATATAAATAAACAAATTGAATCAATATCCACATCATCATTATCAACAACAGCGAATAGACTTCTAATTTTAAAACAATACTTATCAAAAACAATGGATTATCATAATCAACAGACAACAACAAATCTTAATTCAACTATTTCAGTTAATCCAGAAACAGCTATTACACCTGACGATCAAATGAATATTATTGTTGATCCACAACTTGAACAAGCATTGTTTGAAATCGAACACTCATCCAATCAATCATTATGTGAATTGAATAATTTATTTACTGAAGTTGATATGAAAAGAAAACGACGTGAAATACCGGAATATTTAACATGTAAACTTTGTTACGATATTATGAGAGATCCAGTTATTACCCCCTGTAAATTAAACATTTCTTTTCAAAAGACCAAAAAAAAAACTAAATTTTTAATTTTTAATTTTTTTTTCTTTTAGTTGGTATTACTTATTGTCGATCATGTATTGAAGAAAATTTATATAAAGTTAGTCATCTTGATCCAATAGCTAATAAACCATTAGTTCCGGAACAATTAATTAGTAATCTTGTAGTCAAAGAAATTGTGGAAAAATTTATTAAAGAAAATGAATGGGTCAATGCAGAATCTTTTTAAACAAAATAATATGATCAAAATAAACATTTCTTTTTTTTTTTACAATCGTATTTATTTTTGTATATACATTTAGATATATATCTGACTATACGATTAAATGAGTAAATAATAGAGAAAGAAAAAATAGAGAACAGTGAATGTTTATTAGTGACTTGTTAAATATAAAGTAAAACTATTATATTTAATTTAATTTCGCCAAAGAATTATTTATAACATTTTTTCTTTTAAATAAACATTGTAAACATGATAGTATTCAGCTTATGAGGAAGCCTTTTCAACTGTTCCCTTCCAGCTTCAACGATTTTTTTGGCCATATATATTATATTGTATTCTAATAAAAGCCTGAAAAAGACTGCGATTCCTATAGAGATTTGACTAAGCTATAGAATTTTTAAAATACCTATTTTCTCGAGGTTTCGCATTTTCGGGAAACTTGTGTTTTCGAATTTTGATTTGAAACTTTGTACATATAGTTAACTCAACTAGACTAGCTTACATAAAAAAATTCAAGAGTTTTCAACAAAGTCTCTCCACGATATGAAACTTTCAAGATATAGATCTTTTATCAAGGATAGTCTAGTCTATATGAGTTCTATATATGTGCAAAGTTACAGATCAAAATTCGAAAATGTGAGTTTTCCGAAAACTTGAGATCTTCAGAAGCTAGATGGCATTTGCGTTTCACTTGACTGCAAACCTTCCAATGTCATTTAATGGTTCAATCGATATTTTCTTAAAAAGGAATAATCGGTTGGACAATTGAATATGAACCGCTTTTCTCCAAAAGATAAACACACGATACTGGAATCAGAGATATCCCCCACGATCCAGAAATTCACAATTCAAGGAAAATGTAGGAATTCAAGAAAATCAGTTGATATATAATATATCGATATGTCTTGAATTCTTAGAATTGCTAATTTCTAGATCGTAGAGACTTTTAAATGAAAAAAAAACATTCAAATTGTTTTTTGTATCTGCAAAATATTCAGACTGTAGATCCACACCGAAATCTAAAAATCTTTTCGCGACTCGATTGGATCCGACTTGAGTTGAACACTAGTACACATATGACTGAAACTTCATTAAAGTAGAACGTTCCTGCTATAAATCTATAACTAGACTATTACTTAATCAGACTCATCCTTAACCTAAAACTGAAAGTACTAAACAATAATGTAAATATCCTATGGAATGGAAACACCTTGAAACCACTTTTACCAACCCTTTACAGATATCAGATACAACTGAAACAAGCAAGATTTTTCGTTCCTTTCTACGTCAGATGATCTGACTCATTCCAAAAAAACGATAATATATTATCTGAAAAGGTTGAACAGATCAATTGCATTATTAATTATGATCATCATATGACAATTAACAAATTGCAAGCGCAAACTAATCTGAATGATAGCACCCTCCAACAAATAATCTCCGATCATTATAAACTTAAAAAGATTATGGCTAGTGATATATCGTAATATCTGACCTTGAATGTGATCAGAATTACAAGTCTGGTAGGTTATTCTTCGTCTGCAACGTCTATTCGACCTTCACAAAACTAATCATATCATCTTATGAAATTTATTGTAGTAACGAATGTTTTCCTCATTTATCTAGATACGAGATAAGCAGCTTTCATCGAAATTCTTATATTATCACATCAACTAAAGAATGCTGAAATATTATAGAATTATAGAGTACTATTTGGACTGTTAGTATATATACAGTAGGTATCAAAATTATTCAACTAGTAGATAATTTTCTATTCTTTTGTGTATATATTTCAAAAATTAGATGAGCTAGAATTATCTGGTTTTCTTCAGACTACAGCCTATAGTCTCTAGGATACTAGTAAAAAACTTCAGATTAATTCATTGTTCTGTTTAGTTTTTATCGATGATACAATTGCAGCATGTCATATATCTAACCACTTATTTTTACACACTATGGTGTGCCTGTTCTAAGTTGAAATTTTCATTATAATAAATGATTCAATAGAACAACTTGTGCTCTATGTGAGAAGTACTTTTTAACGCCGCTTTCTTTTTCGAGTAGAATAAAAAAAAAGAATATTTTTTTTTGACTCATACCGAAAATTGTCAAAAAAAAACTGCATAAGACAATGCTCTCCTATAATATTTATTTAATATTACTTTTTAATATATCATTAGCAAGAGCACTACAAGCTGCATCAGATATTCTATTTGAATAGATATTTCATATTAGAAAATTGTTTTAGTCGTCTCCTATGTACACATCAATCACAAATAGATGTTCTTGTACTATCTTATTTATGCATCGAAGAAGGTAAAAGTTGTTTTAACAGCGTGGATTTTCAGTGAATCTTTTTCAACAGGAAACTCTGATATTTGAAATTAAAATAAATTATATTACTTAAATATGAATAACAGAAGTAAAAAGCTTACCGTGGTTGTAGTAATATCCTAAGCCCAAATCTCACTAAATATATAACAAATATTTACGCGTCATGGTATATTCACACTGTTGCTGGGGCTGCAATAAGTTTTGTTTTACTTCTACTATTTATAGTGCAACCAAGGTAAAGAGCTTAAGAGATATAATTGATTTTAATTCTAAATATAAGAGTTTCGTACGGGAAAAGATTCGCTACAAATCCATGTTATTCAAACAATTTTTACCGTCTTCGATACGTGAATACGATAGTACAAGGTCGTCCATCTGCATATTTTCTGACTCTCTATTCTCGAAATCATCAAAACAGAAAATGATAAATATCAATACGTATGTCTAGTAATTAGAAAAAAAAAGAAAATTTGCACAAGACTACAAACATGCAGTATAACATCACCTCTTTTAATTATCTCGGGTAACATATAGTGGTCAACTCATCAAAATTACTGTTTGACGAAACTTACTGAAGATAAACAAAAACTCATATTAAAGATTCAAAAACGTTTGTATCATATCGAAACATCGATTTCTCTGGCAAAGTTCGAATGAATTTCTAGCGACTTGCTGTCCTCTTGATCAATACGACACAAAATACAGACTTTGTTACAGTGAAAAAACATGTGAAGTATGAAGGTCGAATGCGTACGCGACTTACTACAAAAATCCTGTGCTTTGCATCGTATGACATTACCGTGAAAAAACAATCGTGAACAACATATGTGTTATTTACATGATACAATCAATGTTAATCATTATCTGATTGATATAATAATCTTTATTTAGTGTAAATCTTATCCTTTTATTCTTATTGGTAACATCATTGTGTAAAAAACTGTGATTATGATGTTGGTGAGAACGCGCATCAATAATGCATCACTGTTTGAGTTCGACTAAAGGTTGTTTTATATCGTAATTAGATATGTCTTGGTACTTTCTCTATATTCACCCTTGAAGACACCTTCGCTTCTCTATCTATAGTTAAGAACATCTTTTATATGAAAATGCCAAGAAAAGGAAATATATGTTATTCTAACAAGTTATCAATCGGATCGATATTGTAAACAAATGATGAGTAAAAAAAAGTCATGAATTTCTATTATTTATGATTCCTTTTCATAAAATAAAAAAACAAACTAGAATAAATACTTCTATTGTCTTTTACATTGGATTTCAGACATGTTTTTGTTCATACCAGTATTAGTAATAGTAGGTATTTCATTTGTTGATGGAATAAATAATATTACCTGTATATCGACTCCCGGACAAAAGAATACATCAACAATTTTAACTAATCTTCGTCGAGAAATGCGAAATGCAGGTATTGGAATATATGTTGTTTTTTCTGACGACGAACATGGCAGTGAATATACACAACCGTATGATAAACGGCGTGATTGGATTACGGGATTTCGTGGTTCATCAGGTATAGCAATTATTTCGTTACGAACTGCGGCTTTATGGACAGATAGTCGTTATTTTTCACAAGCAGAAGAAGAATTAGATTGTGCTAATTGGCTTTTGATGAGACATGGCAATGAAAATGTACCAAGTCCTTTTATTTGGTTAGTTACTGAAGCACAACAGACAGCATGGGTAAGATTTTTATATTCGAAAGTACCAACTACAAGTTGTTTATAGTCATTTTCCTATTTATTAGAAGTATCTTCATTTATATTATAGTTGATAAAAAAGGTTTTAATATACATTAGATGATATCTAAAACATGCATTCCTCCATTAGTTTCTTTGGGATGTAAATGTGGATGGAATAGAGACCTTGTCCTTACTCACACCCTATTAGATTTATACTTCCTATTGTTAAAGTTGTCGAAGATATGTCAATATAAAACAGGATAAATTTAATTTCTCATGAATCGATGTATTCTTATCATGCAGTAGTTCTTTGACATCTGTTTTATACAAAGGGCTAAATACATGTTTTTGTTCATGTAGTAACTTAAGATTCTTGAAAACATTGTATTGAATAGGACTTTTTCTATTTGTTATCTTTATTAGTCATTAGGTACTACAACTGTATTCACTTCTTCAGCATGGTGGTCATTAGCCAATACAGCATTACAAGCAATAGGAAAACAACTTCAACCTGTTGATGATCTTGTTGGACGTATTTGGCCAAGTAATGAACGTCCAAAAGCATCACAAAAACCAATTGTGAAACATGATATTAAATATGCAGGTCAAAGTGTTACTCAAAAATTACTTCGAACAACTACTGAACTTCAACGATTTGATGCAACAGTAACTATTATAAGTGCTCTTGATGAAATAGCATGGCAATTTAATTTACGTGGTGCTGATATTCCATATAATCCTTTTTTTAAATCATATGCTATCATTTATACTAATTATATAATTCATCAACCGAAATTATTTGTTAATTTAGCACAAATTAATCGTACTATGTATCCTGTTGGTGTTCGTGTATTTAATTATTCAACGTTTTGGTCACATTTAAATGAAACAGTTAATAATTCAACTATAGAAAAAATTTTGGTTAGTGCACAAGCATCTCAAGCTATATTAAATTTAATACCTTATGATAAACTAATACTACCATTATTCAATTCACCTATAGAACGTATAAAAGCACAAAAAAATTCAATAGAAAGAAAAGGTATGAGAGATTGTCAAATACGAGATGCTGTTGCTCGTATGAAACATATTGGATGGATTGAACAACAATTAAATAATAATATACCAATTAATGAAACGCAATCCGTTGATCGATTACTTTACTATCAAAAACAACAAGTTAGATTTAAATTTCCAAGTTTTCATGCTATTTCAGCATCCGGTGATCGGGCAGCTCTCGTTCATTATTCTTCACAACCAGCAACAGCTCGACCTATTACTAAAAATCAAATTTATTTACTTGATGTAAATCTACGTATATGATATGCAACATGATAAAGTCTTTTTTTTTTTTGTTTTTTTGTTTTCTAAGGCTGGTAGTCAATATCTAGATTGTACAACAGATATAACACGAACACATCATTTTGGTATTCCAAAAGATCTAGAAAAACGTGCTTATACACGTGTACTTCAAGGTGTACTTGCTATTGCCGATGCAGTTTTTCCGACAGGAACATATGGTCGATCACTTGATTATCTTGGTCGTATGTATTTGTATAGAGATGGTATGACTTTTGGGCATGGTATAGGGTTTGTATAATTTTATTATTTCATGAAACCTCTTGTCATTGAATTATTTATAATAATTTAATGAAAAAACATTTTTCTTTTATAGTCATGGTATTGGTCACTTCTTGAGTGTACATGAAGGTCCACACCGTATTGGATCAGAATATAATGAATATGAAGAACCATTAACTGATGGAGTATTCATTTCGGATGAACCAGGATTTTATAAACCAGGTGATTTTGGTATTCGTATAGAAAATGATGTTGAAGTTGTATTGGCACATAAGAGTATATATGATAAAAGACAATTTTTACGTTTCGATACAATTACATTTGTACCATATGAACGTTCATTAATTGATGTTACATTATTAACAAATACACAATTAGATGCTATCAATAAATATCATGCAAAAGTAGCACAGATTTTAGAACCTTTACTTAAAGATGATGAAGCAGCTTTAAATGCTTTGCGTTCTCGTACGAAAAAAATACATTCTCAATCGGTAACAACAACTACAGAATTATCTAACAAAGCATTTATTAGTATTAGTTCACCGTCTCTCATAACCTTCGTTTTTATTGTAATAGTTTTATTTAAAAACATAAAATATTTTCTAATAAAAATCATATAGTTTTATTATGCATAAAAATTTAATTATGACCTTTGCTATCAATATACATGCATTATTTCAGATCAGATAAAATGAATCGATTTTATTTCGTAATGTTTCTTTTTTCTTTTGCAATAATGAAGTGTGATGACCTACGTTTTGATTATCATTTCCTATCTAGATACGACATCTGTAGATCAGAGAAAAACGATCATCCACCAATCATATATCATAAAATGAAAAAAAAATTTTTGAGCAGTCATATATTTCTATCAATTTTGTTATATTCGTTTTTATTTATTTGTTAGTCGAACTGCTGGATTTCTTTTTTTATGTCCAATACTAGAATAAGACAAATTTTTTTTTCATAGTTAATTCGTGTTACTCATCATTATTTCGAATGATTATAATAACATCGTATGGGGCTAGATAATGAATATTAGTTTGATATCATATGCAATAGATGAAATTCTGGTGCTGGTAGATTCAACTAATTTGTTATGTGCAAAAAAAAAACTTTGTCATCACGATGAATTTCATTTATGATTGTGACATCATGATTCATAATCATGTGTATATGTAATAGATAATGGTTAGTAAGTGTGTTTTTGATGATCATTGAATAATGTTTGTATTCGGAAATTAGCCAACGTTGCAGTAGAAAAAATTCTTAACTATCTAAAATAGTTGATTTTGTTTTTAAACTTTGATGAATTGGAAATATTCGATTGTAAAATTAAGATATTGCAACAGATGAGATTTCAAAATCAAGACAAAAAATTAGTCAATTTTGTTTTTTTTTTTTATTATTAGAAATAAAGAGAAAAGAGTAACTCATAGTTACAGTAAAAAAAAAGAAAGATAAATTATTCGAAAGTTTATTTTAATTTATAATTATTACGTAAACGTTTTGTTATTATTTTTCCATTCTTTTTTGTTGTTGATGATGATGATGATTTATTTTGTATTTTAGATTTAATTGGTCGACGTGTTGCATTATTACTAAGTTCTTTTTTCTTAATATGTAATGATGATTCTAACATTTGAATTGGTAATGTACGTTTTTTAATAGGTTCTTTAACAACCATCGATTTTTCCTTAACACAAGGTATATCACCTGCACCTGTATTTGTTATTATTGGTTGTTGAATTGTTGGTATTAATGATGATTGTTGATGATGAATATTATTTGTTTCAATAAGTGTTGTTTGATGATTATTAGGTATAATTGATGTTTGTTGTTCTGGATTAATTATACGTGTTACTATTTGTTGATTATTTGAAATTGAAACAAGTTCATCAGCCATTCGTTTAACAGCTATTGAAACAAGTTGCCACATTTCTTTTGTTAAATGACGTTTAGCTAATTTTGTTTCATCATCAAGATTTTCTGTTGGATTTTGTTTAATCATTGATATAGTTGATGATGATGTTTGTTCTATTGTATCTGTATTATGATGTGAAATTTTCTTCATTGATAGATTATTTCGACGACGAACCATAGAAAAATTGAAATGAATATAAGAAATGAAAAACAAATGTAATAAAAAATGATTTTTATGAAAATGCGCGAGATTATATTTATTTGTTATCTAGATAATAATGTATTCCCGCCATTTTCTATTTCGTTTAGTAGTATCAACAAATTCGTTCACGTTATTTTACAAGTATACTTGTATCAGCTAGTTGAAGGTGAAAAATTTGCGCCAATTACTTTAAATATGTATGCTTTTTTGTTTTTGATTTGGTTCCGTTTCATCGAGAGAAAGTTATGGTAATAATAGAAATGAGAATATAATCCAATAGTTTATTGAGATGGTAGCAACAAAATATTAATTTAATTATTTTACTAATCTTATTAAAATATGCATCTAATGATAAACAAACCTTTTTCATACTGTTTCATTAAATCAAGAAGAAGCTCAATACGCACTTCCATATATCTATCTCTACAATATTTTTCAAATCCAAGATCTCTAGAAAACTTGAAACCAAGTTTGTCAGTATCCAGAATCTGAAAATAACAGCTTCTTTTGATTATACGGAACAGTAGAGCAATTAATTCTCTATAAAATGACATGTCTCCGGACTTTTCATGACATTGTTCTGTATCATCAAAAGAAACTTTCTTTCAGGAATGGAATATTAGACAGATCCTGAATTTTGAGAATACTGTAGAGATTTGATTTTCCACAAATCATTATCGAAAACAATTTTTTCTACTAAAGCCACTATTTAGATTTTTTATGTGAATTACGATTACAGAAAAAGTCGAAATTAAATCTGTACGATCAATTTTTGGAGCCATTATGTACTTCAGTTTATGTTATATGTTAACGAGAATTTTTCTCGGATTTTTCTTCTTAAATCTTATTTATGAATCTATAAAGTAGTGTATTTTAGTTTTGTTACTTAACATATGAAGTATAAACTTGTTGCTATGTAAAAGTAAAAATACTTGAATGTTTTAATGATGTAATTCTCACTTGGATTGCAATTTTGTCGGAATCCGATACAGAACTCTAGTGGTCATACATTAAAAAGCAAAGAAAATTTCGAATTACTATATGATTTAATTGATCTTTTTCCAGGTCAAACAACTGTTGGAACATCATGAGCAGCTGCTGATGCTGTTCGTTATGTAAGTGATTTACAAATAGATTAAATGAAAGATAATAAAATGATTGTTACTATTAATAAAGATGATGATATACCAATATTTACTATAGTTAATTATGGACTTACGAGAGATTTATTTAAAATTTTATCTGAACTTGCAGAAAATAAAATTTTTTTCTTTTTGACTATAAATTAATTATTTTAGATGGATATTGATTTGAATCCAATTGTAACTGTTGATTCTTTATTGAAAACTTATCCATCATTAAAACGCATTCCTGATACAGATCGTGTAAGACGATTTGTTTAATATTTAAACGAAAAAAAAAAAAGAAAGAAAATTCTTTGTATTATTTTTTATTAGATCAGATGTACTTGGACTCAACATGAAATGCCAGCTCGTGTTGATGCTATTGAAAAATATATTCTAGGAAAAAAATATCAACAATTATTACAGAAAAAATTCGATTATAATTCTTTAGAAAATTATAAACAATTTCTTGAACCAAGTACAAAAAAAAATCATGAGTATGACTTTTTTTTCAAAAACAAAAAAGATTAAATTCAAAAATCATTTATTAGAAAACAATTATTTTGCAAATTAACATATCGTCATCTGAATAAAGAACCAGATCATATTAAGAAACATATTGAAGGAAAAAAATTTAAACGTGCTTATGCACAATGTAAGTATAGATATTTATTTCTATTATAAATAAATATTTTATAAATAAATTTTCTAGGGGAAGAATGTCAAAAAAATGGAACAGAATATGTTCCACTAGGTAGAAGAAAAAAGAAAGAACAAATAACAACTGAAAATGATGCTGATGATCAATATGTTGATTTAAGTGATGATGAAATTGTTATAGACGACGATGATGATGATGATCTGTCTGATTTATATCCTGGTATATTTTTATAAATTTTCAAAAATTTCTAAATTAGATGATTTGATTTTTAGATTTTCGTCGTTTACGTACAAGTGATTTAAAATTACGAACAACTACAGTTGAAAAAAATGATGATGATGCAAGTGGAAAAAAACGAAAAGCAGAAACATCAAAAGTAAATAATGAAAAAAATTTAAAAAAAAAAGAAAACGTTTTGTTTTTCTTTTTGATCTTGAAATAATTATTGAATTTATAATTTAGATTAAAAAACCAAAAAAACTTGCAGCACCAAGTTCAAAACGTATGCGATCATCTGATGAGAACATGTCCAATGGTGATGATTTAGTTAAACCAACAAAAACAATGACATTAACTATTTAAGTTTTTTTCTTTTTTGTTGTGTTTTTTTTATAAACATAATACCGTTGGCAATATGTTCTCATTCTAATAACATCATTTACATTCTTCAGATAATCAAAATCATAAAATAAAATAAAAGATGACAACACAAATACATTCAATCGATGAAGATATTGATGATCAATTATATAAGTTCGTTTATTTTAAAGTTTAATTAATATTTTATTTTATTTTTCTCTAGTCGTCAACGATATGTATTAGGTGATGATGCAATGAAATGTCTAAGAAAACATCATGTATTAATAATTCATGCCGGTGGTTTAGGAATTGAAATAGCTAAAAATATTGTTCTTGCTGGTGTACAAGTAAATAAATTTTAGATAACGAAAAAAAACAAACAAACAAAGAATTTATTAAATTAATAAAATCTATATTTTAGAGTGTAACTTTACAAGATACAATCAATACAAGTATATTAGATTTAGCTACACAATATTATTTATGTGAAAAAGATATTGGAAAAAATCGGTATATTAATTGATTCTTTTGTTTTTCTTTATAAGTAATTACATGAAATTTAAAATTTGTTTTTGTTTTATAGAGCAGAATGTAGTCTGGAAAAATTACGTGCATTAAATGATTATGTTAAAGTATATATATCAAAAAAATCTCTTTCTGATTGTTCAGATGAATATTTAAAACAATTTACTGTAAATATTAATATTTCAATAAAATTGAAGAATATTTTTATTTTATTTTTGTTTTATATTAGTGTGTCGTTTTAACTGAATGTAATCTTGATGAAATGAAAACAATTAATGAAATCTGTCGAATAAATAATATTATTGTAAGAATATAAAATTAGGGTTTGTTTTTTTTCTAAAAATTCATTTTTATTTATTAGTTTATTATGGCTGATATTTATGGTGTTTTCTCTCGATGTTTTATCGATTGTGGAAATGATCCATTTACAGTTTATGATAAAGATGGTGAACAATTAAAAGAAATATTTATTAATCATATATCACCAGTAAGAATTAATATTTTTGTTTTTTCTTTAAGTTAATTAGAATTTTATGTAGGAAGGAACTGTTACAGTCGCAGGTGATGAACGACATCCATTTCAAGATGGTGATATTGTTTCATTTCGAGAACTAGTCGGATTAGAAAATTTGAATAACTGTGAACGAACAATTAAAGGTTAGAAGATTATTTGTAAATTAAAAAATACAAAAATTAATCATTTCAATTTTCTAGATCTTAATATTCATCAATTTTCAATTGGTGATATATCATCACTTGGTGGAGAATATAAACGAGGTGGAATTGCACGTGAAGTTAAACAACAAATTAAATTGAATTTTGTAAGATTAAAAATATTTATTGTTATAAATTGTTATTAAAAAAAAAATTTCTTTTTTCATAGAAAAGTCTTAATGAACAAATACATAATCCGAAAATTTTAACTATTGATGGTTCAGATTATTGGACAAAGAATATTACTGGAGAAGTAAGATTATTAAAGTATAAACAATTCGATATTTGAGCAAAATTTTTTTTGTTCATCATGGTTAGATAGACCATGTCAAGTTATCTATTGTAGTGAAATTTTAGTTTAGAAAAAAATCAGAAAAATCTATAAAGATTGAAATACACCAAAAGCATAATTTGTTTTGTTTTACTCGTGATATAGTTAGGAAAAAAATTTTGCATCTTTTTTTTTTTAAATATTATTTGATTATTGAGAAGATCAATTTTGAACGAAAATCATATTCAGAATCAGCAGAAAAATCTGCATCGAATAGTATATTCAATATTTAAAACTAATTTTGAGTGTTGAGTAAACTATTCGATGCAGATTCCAGTGTTGACCAGGGTTCTATCCGCAAATGTCCGACTTTGTGCCGATTTTTTACAGCTTCTTGGTAAATTTAGACAGAAACCGAACTTTGAAACATGATTTGCCCTTCTGTGGTAGAAAGTGAATAAAAATAAGCGAAAAATCTCGTTACGAGGTGAATAGGATTGTATCAAGGACAGCTTGATAGCAGGTCATCTGTTGTGAGAAGGGCTATGTCACAGTGGATTTCATTCTTCCCATCTCCCGGTCGTCACTCCTAGCATTCTAACAATGAAAGCACTTTCTATCGAATTGTTAGCCTCTCCTACTCCTAAAAAATATCGACAACCCTAATGCTGACTCTGAATGTGAACTCATATTTATTGTGTTTTGTTATCATTTCCAAAAAATCGATTGTCTCAACAATTAAATAATATTTTTCAAAAATCATGCATAATATTTTCCCCTAATTATATTACTGAGACTTAATACGTTTGGTGTATATCAATTTTTATAGGCTGTTCTAATTTTTTTTTTAAACCAAAGTTTCACTACAAAAAAACATCCTTTGAGAATATGTCAAAATCAACATTTTTATAGTTAACTCGACGAGTTCTATCCAAGCATGAGGAAAAAAAAAGTTTTGCTCAAATTTTGAACTGTCAGTATTTTAACTAAAACAAAAAGAAAACCATTGTTACAAGATATAAAAAAAAATACTTATTTAGATACCGGATTTAATCTATATACATGTTATTATGTTAGCTGTTAGTGAATTTAAAAAAATATATCAACGATTACCAGAACCACAGTAAGATTTGTGTTTTTTTAATAGATATTTAAAATAATTATCCTCGGTTTTTTTTTCATAGTCAAATGAATCAAGAAAATGATGAAACAAATCTTTTAAAATTAGCTCAACTACATTTAAATGGATTAACAACGAAAGATGTATGTTTATTTTTTTTTTTCAAATAGATTTTTCTATCATTTTTTTTTTGTTGTCGTTGTTATGTAGCATTCTATTAATGAAAATCGTTTTAATCATCTTCTTAAATGTCTTGTTTATACAGCAAAAGGTTCATTTGCTCCATTATGTTCAGCTATGGGTGGTTTTGTTGGTCAACAAGTATTAACATCAATTACTGGTAAATTTACTCCAATTCAACAATGGGTAAAATAAAAATTTTTATTATTTTTTTTAATTATTCTCTATTTTATTAATTAGCTTTATCTTGATGCTTATGAATTAATTAAAGAAATTTCATTTGAAGACGAATATAATAAAATAAAATTGTAAGAAAATATTTATTTATTAAATTTTTGTTTTAATATAAGAAAAAATATTTTATAGAATATCACCGGATCGATATCAATCATTAAGATTATGTATTGGTGAAGAACTTGTTCAATGTCTTGCAAGACAACGTTTATTTATGGTAAATAAAATTAAAATTTATAAATTGAAAATAATCTTTTGTTATTTTTTCTTTTTAAATAAAGGTTGGTTGTGGTGCAATTGGATGTGAATTATTAAAATTATTTGCATTACTTGGTGTTGGACGAAATGGAGAAGTATTGTTTATTATGAAAAGAATTTCTTTTATTTTGTTCTTCAACAAAAAAAAAAAATTTAATTTAATTTAGATTACAATAACAGATCATGATCATATTGAAAAATCAAATTTAAATCGACAATTTCTATTTCATAAACAACATCTTAATCAACCAAAATCAATTGTAGCTGCACAATCAGCTCGTGATATGAATAATGAACTTAAGATTCAATCATATACATTAAAAGGTAAGAAAAACTTTTTTTGTATTATTTTTTTTTCTTTTGAAAGTTTCTTTTTTTTCAAGTTGGTGTTGGGTCGAATGACTTATGTTCGGATGCCTTTATGTGTGATCAAACAATCATTGTTAACGCACTTGATAATATCGAAGCCAGACGTTATATGGATTCGTATGTATTAAATAGATATGGATAATATGGATCCCGATTCTGCCAGAGCCAATTTTTTGTTTGATCGAGATCGGAACCCACACTTTTTCATTGGGAGTGATATCTTTTATGACTGTGTAAAACTTGCGTCAATTATTGAGTAACGATCACTCACAATTTTGAGAGTAAAATTAACCTAGAGTTCATTGACACTACTAGAAAAAGATATTGCATTCTTCGTTAGTACATGTATTAGTAAGCGTAAAACCCGAACCAAAAATTTTTTTCTGATCGGAACCAAAAAACAAGCGGTCCTGCTCATCACTAATATTAAAGATTGATTAGTTTAAAAAATTCTTTGTTTTTTTATATTTCTTTAAAATATTTAGACGTTGTGTTACCAATAAAAAACCTTTAATTGAATCTGGAACGATGGGTCCAAAAGGTCATACATTTGTTGTTGTACCTTACAAATCAGAATCTTATTCAAATCAAGTAAAAACAAAAAATATTTCTTTTTGAATTAGCATTATTTTGTTTTTTAAAGAGTGATCCAATTGATAAAGATGTTCCATATTGTAATGTTAAATCATTTCCAGCTAATATTGAACATTGCACAATATGGGCAAGAGAAAAAGTAAAATCGAAAGAAAAATATTCACAAAAAAAAAGAAACAATGAGAAATTTTTGTTTTAGTTTGAAAGTACTTTTCATATGAAACCATCATTATATAATAGTGTTATGTCACAGACAAATATTTGGAATCGTATTAATAATGGTGAAACTATTGATGATTTACCAAAAATTTATAAATTTATGAAAAGAAAATGTACGAATTGGAATGATTGTTTAAATTCAGCAAGAGAAAAATTTGATAAATATTTTTCAAATAAAGTATTTGATTTTTTTTTTCGGAGATATTTTATGTTATATTTTTATTTAATTAGGCACGAGATTTATTACATAAATTTCCTGCAGATATGATTGATGATAAAGGAAGTAAGTAAATAAAATAAAAACAAAAAAAAACAACAACATAATTTATGAATTATTTTTTCTATTATATGAATATATTAGTTCCTTATTGGAAATTACCAAAACGAGCACCAACTCCAACTGAATTCAATATTAATAATAATCTGTAAATTTTCATGAATAATTGACTAAAAAAAAAAGTTTCCTTTATTTTATACTCTTTTAGTCATTATGATTTTGTCTTATCTTGTGCAAAACTTTTTGCTGTGATATACAATATTCAAGTAAATAAAAATTTCTTTTAATAAAAAAAAAAAAAAATAATCAAATCATTTACTTTCATCTATTCAGGTAAATAAAGAACGAATATATGACGTTGAAACAAATAAAAATATCATTTTACAAACGAAAATTGAAACATGGCAACCAAGAAATAAGGTAGAGTTTTTTTGTTGTAAATGTCAATCAGAATATATATCCAGAAAAAAAATGCGGATGTGAATAAAGATACGAATCTAATAGCTGTTGAGTATAAACTAGAGTCCGTTGAATTAATCCCTCATCCTGTCGTTCGAGTTTGAAATTTTTCTGTTAACAACCAGGACCGAATCCGAACGGCTCCACTATAAATAACTATTATTTATATGAATAATAGAGTTGAACACTGATAGAGTTTTGTATCAGAATGATATTCGAATAGGTTGTGAGTTATGAGTTGTGTAATTCGAGTTCGAATATAAATGGAAATATAAAGTGCTGACTATAGCTTCGAAAATGAACGAAGTTTTTTTTTTTGGGTGAAAGTATAAAATAAAATTTATCTCAATTATAATAATAATTTAAGGAGTGATTTCAATGTTACATAGGCGGAAAAGAAGACATATAACTTCTGTCTCAATTATAATTATATTACAAACAGGAGCTTAACTAAAACTTACTCGAAAGATAAAGTTTAGTTGAATTAGCTTCTGAGCGCGTAACTACCCTTTTATTTCAGTGTCACAGAGTAGGAATGCATGGCACCTTTGAAAAGGCCCGAACAATAATCATTTCTGTGTATACATGAAAGATTAATATTCAAAAAAAAAACAAATGAATGTGTGAGTGGATAGCTGTCTACCGCTAGCCCATGCTCACAAGTTACCCAATGTAATCCCATTTCGTGTCTTTCACTATCCTATTGAATAAAACTCAGTTTCCATATAGCATACAAGAAAATATACAATATTACACATTTCATATCTTCTACATAAGATGTCTTCCCCCACACCCTTCGTTTGATGATTAACTCTTTCTTTAATAACAAAAATGGGATTTGAGATGTTATGTTTCTTTCCTTGATGTTCTAAGTTAAAACTTAAAATATTTTTGTCTTCGACTTTTAATCTAGAATTAATCAGAGAAAGATACATATTAAAATTTTTCATTTCTGGTTATTTTTTTTTTCAAATTATCTTGTGAATACTGATAATTATATTCGAACTTTTTCTTCTTTAAAGATAATTATAACTGATCCAGCTGTTGCAAAACCAGTATCAACTAAACATGAAGGTGATATTAGTACAGATGAATGGAGATTTGCACAAGAACGAACTAAAGATTTTCGTATGGCATAGATTTTTTTCATTTTTTTCATATAGAAATTTATCTATTTTATAGAAGCTGTACCAATACCATTTGAAAAAGATGATGATTTTCAAATAGATTTTATTACAACTGCAACAGTATGTTTTTCATAAATTTATCTATCTATAATAAAATTTTATTTGCTCATTTAATAGAATTTACGAGCACATATGTATGGTCTTGAACCAAGTGATCGTTATGAAATAAAACGAATAGCAGGTAATATTTAATAAAATATTCTTGTAAACTTAATTGCTTTTTTTTTTGTCTTCTTTCAGGACGTATTGTACCAGCTATTGGAACGACAACTGCAACTGTATCTGGTCTTGTAAGTTTCTTTTGTTTGATATTTTTTTAAATTTTTATATTCATATTTATTTATAGATTATTGTTGAACTTGTTAAATTATGTTTTAGTCAAATGAAGGATCTTCCATTAAGTGTTTATAGAAACTTTTATATTAATATTGCATTACCATTTTTAATCGCTAGTGAACCATTAGCATGTACAACACAGAAGATTGGGTACGATTTCATTTGATATTGTTTTTTGTGTCTGTTATTATAATATTGAAAAAATAAGATACCTCATGCCTTTTCGAATAATTTTGCAAGACGAAGAGGTATCGAGAAACGTTTTTTTTCCGTTCACTTACAGTCAAGTGTGAGGCACGCTGAATACTAATAGAAAATTTTTTTGGATCGGATGCTGAGTGTCTTCAGAAGAATCATTGGAAAATCATCGTTTTATCCAACATTGAATTTTCATTATTTGAAACATGTATTCGATAGAGAAAATTGTTCTCTTATAATCTTTGTAAATTCGACATTTCTAACTTGTACTGTTCAATAGTTATAAGAGTTTTCTAGCAGCTTCCAATTTTGGCTAGTTGATCTTGAACTACCCGAAAATAGATCGAGAGAGGAGTGATCGCTCACACTAAATTAAGTAATGATATTTTCTTCCAGTTTTACAGAAACCTAGAACCATGATTTCCAAGTTTTCCTTTATTAATTGCTTTAATATGATCGATCACCCTTCCCTGAATTTATTCTTGGATGAGCCCAGGTCAATTAGCCAAAATCGAAGATCTCTAAAAAAAAACCTTATAACTGTTGAATAGTACAAGTTAGAAATGTCGAATTTACAAAGATCATAAGAGAACGATTTTCTCTATCGAATACATGTTTCAAATAATGAAAATTCAATGTTGGATAAAATGATGACTTTCTAAAAGTTCTTCTGAAAACCTTCTAGAAATCCGATCGAGAAATTTTTTTTCTATTAGTATTCGACGTTTCTCGATACCTCTTCGTCTTGCAGAATTATTCAAAAAGGTGCAGGGAATCTCATTTTTTTTCAATCCCATAATAATTTTTGTATATGATTTTTTTTTTTAGAAAATTTGATGTTAATATTTGGTCAAGCTTTGAAATTAAAGGAAATCCTGATATGACTCTGGAAGGATTTATTAAGGAAGTAGAAGTAAGTTTATGATTTATATTTTAACTAATTGATGTTTTTTTTTATTTTTAGAGAAAATATGATATTAAACCAGCATTAATTTCTGAAGGAGTTAAATCTGTTTATGCACCATGGATGCCTAAAGCTTCATCACAATTAAAACGAAAGTAATCATAAAAAAAACCAATTCTTTATTTTGTTTTTTTTTGAAATAAATTTCATTTATTGTACTGTAGAATGGATGAATTATTACCACATAAACCTAATATAACTTATTCTGATTTAGTCGTTTTACCAGATGAAAATGATATGGATGTTCAACTGGATAGTAATGTTGATGCTACACCACCACCAATTCGTTATTATTTTAATAGTTAAATGTTTTATTCACTGTGCTTCGTTTTATTTTAATAAAGTTTTTTCTTTTTGAATAAATCGATCTACAGAAAAAATGAGAAAAAAAAACAAAAGGATTGAGTTTTTTTTATTTCAATTGCTTGGTAATCTCTTCAGATGAATACAAAAATAAAAGACTACGAATATCATATATTTTTCATTATGAAAATATTTGTACTTGATAAACAATAAGATTTAATTACGTGTGACTCTACTTAAAGTTTTGTTTGATAAGAGAAAAGATTAATTTTGCAATCTTATACTGCTATTCTTATTTCATTGATTGAAAATTTCGTATGTTTGTCTCATATTCCTACTCCCATGCATGGTAATATATAAAATGTAGACAATCATAGATTGGTTAGTAAGAGCAATTAAAAGTGAATCAATAAAAACAATGAATAGAATGTACATCTTATCTGTTGTCTTAATTGTAGTTGCTTTCAATGCAGGTTTGTTGTTTATAATTAATATTTCAATGTTAATAAACATAGTTAATTCTCAATAGTAATTGGTTGTAAACATTCGCATTCTGCAGCTCTCTCTCAAATTAAATCTGTTGGTATTGGAATTTCATCATCTGGTGGTTGCAGTAATCGTAATAATCCAAGATGTACATCACTTGAACAAGTACGCTGTAATGCAATTCGTTGTTTGAAAACATTGAAAAAATCTTCAGGATGTTCTATCACAGTTACTGGAGGCACAGTAAGATAATACCATCAATAAATATTTTCTCTTACTAGATCTTTTTTCTTTTTGAATTAATAGGAAACTGGTCATGCTGGTGGGACATATTCACATTCGAATGGATACAAAATTGATATTTCACTTAATTCATGTATTAATTCATATATTACAAAACAATTTGCTTATATTGGTAAACGAGGTGATGGCGCTTCTCAATATAAAGCATCAAGTGGCAATGTTTATGCTAAAGAAGGCAATCATTGGGATATTAAATTCACTGCTTCGTGTTAAATAATATTTTCAATAATTATTTATCATATAATCTATATGCTTTGTTTTGTTCGTATTTCTTATCAATAAAAAGAATTATTGTTGATAACGATGATTAAAATCAATTTAATTTGTTGACTAATTTAATAACTCGTATTGACTATGATAATGTTTTAGACATCGAAAATGAGATTGATTCAGCTCTGAAGAAAAAGGATTCGATTCAATCTCTGTTAGACATAACAATATATGAAAGTCTATATTGTTAAGAAAAACACATTATTCAAAAAATTTTGGTTTTCTATAAAATTATATATATATACAGTCGAGGACAGTTGAAATTATATACTTTGATTTTTTTTGTTTTTTTATTCCTATACATTTTTATCTAATAACCTACTATATATAGGGAGAAAGCTTAGAACTTGCTGCATCTTTTAGTATATCCACTCTGAACATTAAATGCAGTTAAAAATGTAAAAAGTATAGCGGGAAGAGAGAGGACATTTTTTTTTCTTTTGCAAAACTGAGGGTCCATTATGTTGTAATATTTTTTTATTTAGCACATATTTCGGCGTAGATAAATGATAAAAACTTGAAATTTTTTTCAAAAGTTGCGCTGTGAAAAGCTCTGCAAAAGCTGTATGATTCAATCCGTTCTACCTGTTCTGATAATTTTTTTTTATACTCAAAATAAACAACTTATAGGTGGCATTATTACTTCCCATCATATAGAAAATATTACAAGAACTTTTCCAATTCACTATAGGATTTGGTCTATACAAGTTTTGTAGAGCTTTTCACGAAGCATCTTTTGAAAAAATATTCAAGGTTTTATCATTTATCTAAGCCGAGATATGCACGAAATAAAAAAAGTTGCAGTATTATGGACACTATGTAAATTCAAAAAAAATGTCCTTTTTCTTCCAATACACTTTTTTAGATTTTAAACTGCATTTGATGTTCAAAATAAATATACCAAAAGATGCAGCAAGTTCTGGGCTTTCTCCCTATATATAGTAGGTTGATAGATGAAAATGTATCGGAATAAAAAAACAAAAAAATTAAAGGATATAATTTCAATTGTCCTCGACTGTATATATGAACAATAATATATTTAATAGTGTTTAAAAATTCTCTATGTACACTATGAAAATCATAAGCATGCTTTTATCTTGAATTCATAAATTACAATACAATTTTCATGAGTTGATTGAAATTATAAATCATTTTGAGAATTAAACAGTATCAATAATTTGTCATTTTATAGAATAATTCTTCAGCTTTGTAGAATTTTAAGTTGAAATGAGTTAACGTCGTTGATTTGCATTTAGTGGGTGTGTTATTCTCTCATTTCTATTTGATTTAGTATTAAGTAAAATGCAAAATAGTATCAGACTAGATATTGAATCGATTTATTTTCGCTCTTTTGAAATCTTATATTTTAATAACGTGCATATAACTTTTTAATCTTACTTTTCTAATTGAAAAATACAGCAAAATAAATCTTTTATTTTGAATTTTACGTTAGAGAAAAATATAGAATATGATCCTATATATGAAACTTAATACTATTGCACTCTTGTACATAGCAACACATATAAAAGGCCGAAGCAAATAGTATAAGTACAGTGCATCAGAAACTCGATTGACGAAAAAGAAATAATTCAATGAACGGTATGTGGCTCCTGTCTGCTATCTTATTTGTAGCTGCTTTTAATGCAGGTTTGCTACTTATAATTAATATTTCAATGTTAATATAATATTCAATTCATATAGTAATCGGTTGTAAACATTCGCATTCTGCAGCTCTCTCTCAAATTCAATCTGTTGGCATTGGAATTTCATCATCTGGTGGTTGCAGTAATCGTAATAATCCAAAATGTACATCACTTGAACAAGTGAATTGTAATGCAATTCGTTGTTTAAGAACATTGAAAACATCTTCAGGATGTCCTATCACAGTTACTGGAGGCACAGTAAGATAATATCATCAATAAATAGTTTCTATTATTAGATCATTGGCTTTTTCGTTTTGAATTAATAGGAAACTGGTCATGCTGGTGGGACATATTCACATTCGAATGGATACAAAATTGATATTTCACTTAATTCATGTATTAATTCATATATTACAAAACAATTTCCTTTTATTGGTAAACGAGGTGATGGCGCTTCTCAATATAAAGCATCAAGTGGCAATGTTTATGCTCAAGAAGGCAATCATTGGGATATTACATTCACTGCCCAATGTTAAATATTTTCTTTTTCTTGATAAATAAAATCAATTGTATTGTATCGAAGTCATCTTTCTTATAATACATTCAATATAAATATTAAAAGAGATAAGAGATAATAATTAGTGCTGAAATCAATGCAAGAAATTAATATTGAAATATTAAATATTAAAGATTAATGTTTTCAAGAGAGTAAATTATTTATGCTTATGTTTGTTGTATCGTTTTAAGAACATTGTAGAACGACTATTTTGACAAAACATAGTTCTTATTAGTGACCGAATCAGAGAGGATTCAGCTTGCTCAAGAAATATTTGAGCCCTCCTAAAAAATTTGAAACTTCCATGAACGTTGATATGAATCCCTTACGAGATGCTTAGTAACCATACGGTTTCTTTCTGATTACATCACTAATTCATAAAGAAGGTATTATTGTCTGCACTTTTGGCAAAAAAAATCTTACAGATGACATAGTATAATAAATGTCGCATAAATTCAGACGACTCTTGTGCACTTGTAATAAAAAGAATAGAAAATGCAAATTATTTTGCATAAGGGAGACATTCGACGAAGAAATCCAATTAATTCAATTCTTTTTTTTTCGTTGTTTCTATTGATGAATTTTCAATTTCATTTCAATCGAAACATATCGACATCAGAGAAGAAAAAAAAACATCTTATTCTTATCACAACCAAAAAATACAGTCAATAGATCACAATGTACATCGAGTTCAGGGTCACGACCATCGTTTTCTTCTTAGTTATAACTGTTGTTAACAGTTCTCACTTTTTGGGTGGCACTATCAATTGGCGTATACAGAATTCATCAATTCATAGTACATGGGTAGCTATACTTATTACTCAAACATATTCTTGGACATATACTCCTGGAAAATGTGATCACGGTCAAATTGCTACACATCAAGCAGTATCTGGTTCAGCAGGAACACTAACTTGTTCACCTAGTTGTCCGACTGGTTTTGGAAGTGTATCTGCTGTACCTTATTGTACTGATGTTTCCTCACTCAATGGAATCGCAGTTGGACAACGTTCAGACATAGTTTTAATACCAGCAGGCAGCGATTTTTCAGCGATTTATGCAAGTGGTGCATGGGGTAGTCTAACATTAGGCGGATTTGGTTGGTCTATTTCATCACATATTAAGCTAGTAAGAAGATCCGATAATGGCATGTTTAACAATGCTCCAGTAGCCACCGTCATGTCTCCAATCATTATCCAACAGAATAGAAAGACACTAATTCCTATTTCAGTCAGCGATGCTGATGGAGATATTGTTCTATGTCGTTGGGCTACTACTTCGAATGGTGTTGATGAATGTGGTTCCGTATGTCCATCACATTCATTACCAGCCAATACGGTGATTTATCCAAACTGTACTATTGAAGTTACTGGTACAATTGCTGGTAGTCGATATGCTATAGCACTCATGGTCAGTTTTGTTCTAGCTTGAAAAAAACCTAGCATTTTATTTTTCTCTTATCTAGGCAGAGGATTTCATCAATTCAACTAGTACAACACCATTAAGTTCAGTACCTGTTCAATTTCTTCTTGAAGTCTTTACTCCATCATCATGTTCTAATCTACCTGAAGTATCGCTTAATGGAAAATCATGCACACCAATTAAAGTCAATGAAACGTTCACATCCCAATTACTTGGTATAAATGATTGTGGAGAAAATGTTACTATTATTGATATATCTACATTGTCTTTTTCTGGAATGACTCAAGGATCTCTTGACAAATTAAGTTCTCACATTTATTATAAAAATTTAACTTGGACACCAACTATTGATCAACTTGGCTATCAAGTTATGTGTGCAATAGCTTTGAACAGGTTTTTATCATAGATTCTGTAAAATTTTTTAAGTTAAATCATCTTCTTTTCGTACAGTCAACATGCACAATCATCCCAACATTGTTTCACGTTTTATGTAACAGAAAATGGTACAGATACATGTCCTGGAGTTATAGACAATAGTACAACGACAATCCTATCAACATCAACATCAACATCAACATCAACATCAACATCAACATCAACATCAACCTCAACCTCAACCTCAACATCAACCTCAACATCAACCCAAATACTAACATGTTTGTAAAATAAAGTTCATTTTAATTCTAAATAAAATCTATTGTTATCATATTTTTAGCTAATTGTATTAATTGGCCATTGATTGCAAGTCTTGCTGCTTTAGCTTGTCTAACTACGACTTGTAATTGTTGTTTACTTTCCCATTGGTATAAGTATGTTAAGACAAATGAAAAAATTTATGAATCTATCAATATATTTTGCAGAGGTTATAAAAATAAACGACAACGTAAATCCGACAAATACGATTCATCTAAAATCTCAACGTCTTTAATATCTACATCAAAGACTAGTTCTACTGTGATGCCCGTCAATACTGTCTGTTCTGTTTCGAATGAGAATATGCATAAATCAAATATTGATGAAACACCTGTGAATCGTATAGAAGGTAAAGATTTGTGTTTTACTAAGCTTTATACGAACTATTATTCATTAAAAGTTGACAATCATAAACCACGAAATTTTATGTCCAAATTTCATTATCCAAATAGAAATCCATTTATAACATCATCTAATGAATTAAATTCATCTATTGAACCATTAAATCTTGATCAAAATCTAACAATGGTAAGTTCAAATAGTGTTCTGTCATAAATTGATACTAGTAAAGTATACGTAAATATTATAACAACGTTATTCATTCTAGATTGAAAACATAAATTTATCACCAACATTAAAACAAGTCAAGACAAAATCTAATATTAACATACGATCATCGAACGGTGTTCGTATCAAACGCATACGAAAGATACACAATAATGTGTAACAACAACTAATATTTTTAACTATTTCAAATTGTAAATAGAAGAATTTCAAAAATCGAAGTTTATTTATAAAGACTCGTTTTCAACAAATGTTATTATCAAATATGTCTCAGACTAAAATAATGAACTTATGTAAATATTTCAAAAAACTATAATCAAATCTTTTCTTTTTCCATATATTTTCATATTCTTTAATAAATTATTCAAATAAAAAACTAAGGATTCATTGTTTTGAACAAGCTTTTTATTTATCAATTCAATATAAAATGCCTTCGCTTTATCACAGTTTATGTATACAATATGCAAACTAATTTGGATTAAGTTCTAGTTATTCTTTCAACTCAATAAATCATCATCCGATGTAGATTGATTATTAAAGAAATTCAAATTTCGTCATTAAATCATGATGAATTACCCTGGAATAGAATTGTAGACATGTATAATTATGTAAATTTCTTCCAACACATATTTCTCTTTCGTTCTTATATGATTTCACTTTCTGATCAGTGTGACCGAACTTTGAAAATAACAAAAAAACACATACTGATGAATTCTGTGCGTTAGATTTATGTCATTCTATTCTTTTGAATCGAAGATTAAATTATTCTGTTGATTAGAAAATCTAATTTTATATTTTATTTGTTTGATCATTTAAAAACAAAAAAAATTTTTTTTTTATATACTCTACATGAGATGACATGTCGAAATAAACTTAGTTAATGTGATTCTTTCATAGACAACTATGTCGATTATTAATCAATAAGATTTTCTTAAATAATAAAATATTTCCATAATATTGAATAGTATCAATATGACTTGATAAACTTATTCAGTTTCATCATTCTGTAATTATTTAATTAAATATTTCAAAAAAATAAATAAATACAACTACACAAAATAATATATCGAGACACAAAAAGTGTTGTAATGCATGATAGATTTAGATCATCACGACCTGCCAATTGAAATATAAACATACATAACTACAGAAGATTAGTACTAATCATTTTTATCAAAATTTCTACTGTTATATGATTATCTATATCATAAATATAAATCTCAATCAACAGACATTATTTTTTTTTTGTTTGTGTTTATTTATTTGATAGTCAATAAATATAATGTGGAAAATACTATAATAATAAACGAAATGATATCAATCAGATGTTGATTCGATACATAATGTCTATATATCACCTTTTACTTAATACAAATTTCATTAAATATTTATCGTGTTGATAATCATTCATATTGTTAATTTTTCAATAGGTGTTGTACGATATTACAACGAATTTGTTTTTACAATTTCTATTATGGTTGATTTTCACTAAATTGATGATATCTGTCAAAAATAATAGCGACGATAATATGATTGGTGTTAATATCAACCATTTGTAAAAAGAAATATTTTCGTATATATAAATAAATATATTTCTTTGAAATATTTAAACTTTTTCGCATATATATGTATGCTTTTCAAAATATTCTTGTTACTGTTAATAGAAACATTTGAAATGTTAGTGGTAGCGATACTGACGAATCATTTTATTAGTTGTAATTTTGCCTTTCATAAGATAGAGTAGAAAAAAAAGAAGAAATTGAATTGTTTAATAAGAAATTTTTAAATCGAATATGTAGGTGTAGTCAAAGCCTTAAATTCTAATAATCAAATCATTTTATCTATTGAAAATACTATTGTCGAAATTCTAATATTGTCATTACAATATTGAATGACGAAAAATATTGAAATCTCTTACAATAGTATGTAAACATACAAATATTCGTTTTTTCGTATTCTTCATGAATTAACTAAAATCGATATACAAATAGATTGTTTTTCAAAAAATGTATGACAATGAAATTAAATAAATTCTAATTAATTATAAAAGAGAATAACATAAAGATAAATGGTTTGTATAACCCTGATTTTCTTCTACATCAAAGAGATTTCAATTTGTATGAACTTCACGAATTCATTTCTTCATTTTAATATGAACTCAAATCAATATCATGTATTCCTACAACAAAAAATTAATGAATTAAATACAAATGATTAGAGAATCATATGATTAAACGAATCTTAAATATCTTTGAAACTCGAAGTTCTCTATTTGATATTTATATAAAAAAAAGAACCTATTGAATTTAGTTCATTCAGTTATTGATTAATAATTAATGGATATTTATTTAAATTAAATGAAAGATCGAGATATAGTTTAATTTAATTGATTAGCTGAAAATTCTTTTTTTTTTATTTATTTTAGATTAAATAAAATGGCTATTTATCGAACTCGTACACATTTTGATATTGATACATCAAAATATGAACATGAATATATTATAAATAATTATTCCAAAGTATTCAGATATTTACATATAGAAACGTAAGATAAATTATTTTTTAAATAATCAAAAATTCAAAAAAAAAAAAAAAACATATTTTGTTTTTGTAAATTCATTTTAGACCAGATTATGAAATACGAAATGAAGCATGTAAATATAATTTCATTATTGAACCTGGTCGTAGACATATATTAATTAATGTTATTATGGAATTTCCATTAATATTAACTGAAAGACGTTGTTTTGAAGTTATAGCTGAATGTTATAATGAAATACGTACATCACAATCAGCAACAAATAATTCAACAGGAAATACTTCATTATCAAATCCATCAAGAAAATCATCAAGAACAAATATCACAAGTCAAACAAGTAAATTAATATCTCAGTAAGTATAATAATAAAAAAAAAATTTATTCAAACATGAAGACGTTTGTTTGTTTTTTGTTTACATTTGAATTGTTCAACAAATTTTTTCAGAAAAAACTTCTCGTTTTGTTTCTTTAGGTAATGAATAATTATTAATAGAAATTTACTTATATCTAAAAAATTAGTGTCTATAAATATCATAGTTTAATTCCATATGAATTATTTTAAAAGTATTGTTTATCATAATTATAATTGAGTGTTTTATTTAATGTCAGAGTTAAAAAAACAACGTATCCTTGGAATTCCGGATGAGAAAAACTTGAATAATATCTTGATTATAGAGTGAAGAAATGTTGAGTTTGTAGAATCATAATTTGTCTAGAATTTTGAACCTTTTACTCCCTATCGTAATATCAAAAGAGTTACTGATAAAAAAACAATTGAAATAGAATATTGCTGTCTCCGATATATGGATCAGGCGCACTCTCATGACTATTGGCAGAAGAACGAGTTGATAAAAATTCTATCCGATATAGTTCGATAAAAAAATATCGTAGAAAGCTTGAAAACGTCTCGTGGTGTAGAGAATGATTTACTACCGTTTTGTGTGATATGAACAAATTGCATGTCCGAATCGTAGACCCTGAAAAATTAAAGGTTCGGTTTTTTGTAGAATATCTATAGTGACCATTTTGTGATTTATCATCTGTCTTTTATAGAGCTTTTGTAAAACTTTTCAATGGTATTGATATCAATAGTAGATTTTTCAGAGAACAACCAACACACAAAACAAAATTATTTTTTTATCAATTGATATTCTATGAAGTTCACTATAAGACATGTTTTCTTTATTGTGTGTAATTGTTCCACAAATGATCGCTTCAGTGACTAAGTGAGGAAGAAGTGAAAGAGTTAAAATTGCAGAAAAAAAAGAAACTTAATCATGATAAATAATTAATTTAATCCTTAGATTAGTGTCAAAAAGTAACTTCTAAAATAGTCAAATATAACAATAACAAATCCAAGAATTATTCATTTTGAAAAGTTCAGCAATCCTGAAAACAAAAAAATAAAACTTTTCAAATTTAATTTTTGATCGATTTATTCAATCTATCGATTAAACTATAGATTGAAATCTTGTTATTCAAACGTTACTGATGGAGAAACATATCCAAGTGTGAAATGTCGTTTAACTTCCTATTACAACTACGAGTAGATCTCGATGAAACTAAATCAAACTGGAAACGATTCGAGTTCATAGTCTACTGATAAAAAATTATGGCTGTGGTCAAAACTTTTTGTTTTGGACTTTTTGAAAATGTCTCGCTTCCAGTAAAAGTTTCATTAAAATAGTCATAATTTCGCCAGTAGACTATGAATTCGAATTCTTTCAAGCTTGACTTACAAGGAAATCTCTTCAATTGTCACCTTTCAATTTCAATGACTTCTTTTTTTGCCTATAAATACTGTGTATAGTGCTTTAATAAAAATCTTAAAGGGATTTGAGTTCCTATTGACATTTGAATAAGCTATCGAATTTATAATATGTCTATTTTCTAAATCTTAGCTTTTCGAATTTTAATCTGAAACCATGTGCACATAGAGAACTCAACTAGACTAGCTTCTATAAAAGACTTCAGAAGTTTTCAATAAAATCTCTTTAAGATATAGATCTTTTTCCATGGATAGTGTAAACTTGCGAATTTTCTATAGAAGCTAGTCTAGTTGAGTTCTCTATATGCACAAAATTTAAAAGTACGAGTGTTCCAAAAACCTGGATTCTCTAGAAAATAGATATATTAAAAACGGAAGGAGACAGCTGAAGAGATTCCCTTCTTAGTCTTGCCGAGATTTTGTCGTAGCCATAATATGAAGTTTGAAAGTTGGATATGTTTACCCGTTAGAAATCTCCTAAATTGAAGTTAAACAATAATTATATTAGATCTAAAAAACATAGTTTGATAACAATCAGGTGTAATGTTCTTCTATAAAATTTTGCTCAATCATATCAATATGATAACTTTAGATATCAACAATTGGTCATAATTCAAATATATATGTTTTTTCAATATTTAGTGATGAAAATCAAATTGTTTATTCTCGTATACCAGATGAAGTTGATTTATATGATAGTGATGAATATAGTGATGATGGTTTTGTAAATAATCGTCGTTATGTTAAACTTCGTCTTGATTTAGATGATGTATCATCAATAAAAAAATTACGAATAAAAATAAAATGTACTTATAATAGAATATTATCAAATGAATCAATTGAACCACAATTATATTCAACAATAAATGATCAACAAAATTCCATTGATAAAAATGATCTTTCATTACTTGAATTATTTCATAATACAATTCCATATGATTTAAAAATTGAAATAGGTACACAAACATTTCATGCACATCGACATATACTTATATTACGTTCGGATTATTTTAAAACATTATTTGGAAGTCAATTTAATGATTGTACAAATAATCAATTAAAATTAAGTGATGATATTGATATAAATGCATTTGAAATATTACTTAAATATCTTTATACAAATCGTATTGAACATGTTATTCATGATGAATTATTATTAATTGAATTATTTAAATTATCTGATAGATTTTTAATTGATTCACTTAAACGTCAATGTCTTATTGAATTATTAAGAAATCATATTAATAAAGATAATGTTTTTTCATATTTAAATTTATTAGATACATATGAGGGTTGTGATGAATTACGTGAAAAATGCTTTGGTCTATTTCATAAATATTCAGATTTATTAAAAACACCAGCATTTAATCATTTAGAAAAACATAATCCAAAATTAGCTTTACAAATTTATGGCTCATTTTTCTAAAAGAAAAAAAGAACACATTGGATTTCTTTTTTCTTTTTCGTTTTGTAATTATAACCATTTATTTTTTTTTTTCTTTTCTTTCCTTTCTTATTTAGAAAATAAAATGTTATCTGACGTGTTTGTTTTATTATTCTAGATTGCCTTTGTTTTTTTGTTTTATTTGTATCTTTTTTTTTTCTATTTTAATTAATAGATTTGAAAAGAAATAGAATGGGTCTGAATATAAGTGGTACGATTGACCGTGCACGACATCCTGAACAATATCCAGATAAAGCAAAAGGTCCAACATTTGATCCGGTATGATAGAAATCTATGAGATTATTTAATTCTATGAATATTTTATTAAGATGTATGGTTTTCCTGATGGACGAAAACTAAAAAGTAAGTGTGAAAAAATAAATAGATAACTATGGAAATGTCTTGATTTTAATACTGATTAATTTTTGTATCGAAGTTTTCTTGATTACGATCGAACTGTATGTATCTGAATTTTGGATTTTACTAAACGAGTCGATTTATTCAACAAGTACTTCGTAATTAGACATAGTACTACATAGAATTGTCATCGTCGTCATCGTTGTTTTTTTTGTGTCATGTCAGCACTTATTAGAACGAGATAGTTGTTGATAAACGTAATATATCTCTATTGGAATGCTAAGAAGATGTAAAGTAGACAAGTATCTATTACAGAGATAGAACCGGTACTGATTACCGACCGATCGCCGGTTATTATTGATGTGTCTAATTTATTTATTTTTTTTTGCTCTTATTATCTCATAGAGGACGTGCAAAGAAGCTTTGTTGAAAGTTGAATATGTCAAATATCATTATCCATACATGAAATATTACGACAACTCGTCAATATGGATTTCAGACCGACTCGTAGATCGGTCATAATCGATGTCGATAGCGAAAAATTCAGACCAGTTCCATCTGTGATCTATCAAACATTGTTCAACTAAATTGGATCTTTTCTTCTATTAGTAGTGCAATAAAAGTAGGTTATATTTTTCGTTAAAATTAAAATTCAGTCAAATTTTAAATTTGTGCGAGATGAAATTAAATGTTGTTTTTTTGATGAACACGAAAAAAGTAAAATCTTGATAGCCAAGAGTATGATTGTTTGATTTTGAATGTGGATAATGGCGAAGTCTCTATTCCATCCATATCCTCATATTATATTTTTTAATAAATTTTATAAAATAAAAAAAAAATGTTACTAATCTAATGGTTGGCATTTCTTTATTGTTTCCTGTTCATCAACAAAAAAAAATTCAATTTCATCTAGTCAAAATTGAAATTTTAATTTTGACCGTAACATATATGTATATATTATTATTCAATTCTTCAAATCGTCATATAGATATTAAAGATGATCATTTCTGATGATGACTAGTAATCTATATATATATAAAACGGTGGGTTTTTTTTTTTACATAGGTATGAATCTTGTTTTATTGATTGACTGCTTCTTTTCTATAGTAGATTTAAAGGATTTATAATTTTAATTGAACTAAGTAACGATAGTTTTTCTAAAAAAACTACTTTAATTTAACATGCAATATTTTCCAATGAATAGATTAGAAACAAATTGGAAGTAATCGATGCTTCAATATCATTTACTATTTTATCGTTGAGATATCTAAATGATGAAAACATCTATCACCACGGTAGATTTACTAAGCGTTCATTCGTTTCATTGAGAGTAACAACGAGGTTTGAAAATGCATCTTTAAATTAGGATAATCGTTGTAGTTTATAGTGGTTTTCCATATAAAACTGAGAGTAGAACAAACAATTACAAAATCATATGACTGTAGTATCAACAGTCAAATGCCAATGAGTGTTAACCTACTTTGTCTTCTTATAATATCTTATCGAAGATATTGTCTGTTTTAAAGAAAATAATTGTTTTTTTTTTTGTCAATTATGTAAATCTTATTCTTATTCTAGCTGCACCATATACTGACGAAGAAATGCAAATTTTAAATATTCCTCATGATAAACGTGACTATTGTGTACATTATTTTCGTGCTGTAATGCTTTGCACACAACAATATTGGCTATCATAATATGCTTATTGTGAGCCGGAACGACATGCATGGGAAAAATGTGAAACAAATAAGTTAGTTTAAAAGTTTATTGCTATTATGAAAATAAAAATTTTTGCTTTTTTTTTTTTTAGTAAACTTGATGATGCAAAAGAATATGAACGAGAATTACGTTTACATCGACGACGGTTACGTAAAGAAGAAATCATTAAAAATAATCCAATTCATAAAGAATTAGCTAATAACGAAGAATAAATATAATGATTTGAATATGATATCCTTAGTTTTTAGACTTCCTTCTCTCTCTCTCTGGTTTATTTTGTCACATTCACAAAAATCAGATTTTTGTAGAAATAAAAAAACAACAACAACATGTGTTTATGATTTTATTTCCAGACAAGAAAACAAACATTTTTTTTTCTAATATTCTTCTTTTTTCTTTTAATCAGATAAATTATGGACAAGAAATTTGATGGTTTAATTGATAATGCGTACGTATATAATTATTTAAGAAAATAATAGATGTTTCATAAGTATCGTCTCTATGTTTATTTTATCTTTTTTATCTTTGCCATATTTAAATATGCATAGGCATTAATGATATTAGTAAAAATATTGAAAATATTTTATGAATTTTCTTCTGTTACGATTAGGAAAAAAACAGCACTTACTATAAGTCACTTTTATTGTTCTATTCTTGAAGTATGCTATTCAAGTGAAGAAAAAATTATTTTCGCAGACATATAGAAAACAACAGTATCATAATGTCATGCTCATACTAGAGGAGCAGATGTTTACAAGCTATATGTTGAATCGATATATGTCACAAAGAATTACATACATGAAAGATTGACAGGAAGCGAGTCACAATAGTTCTTTATGATTTACTGAATGTCATCATGATCTGAAAAGTTTTAATCGAATCTTTTTTGACACGAGAAAAATTGATGCTCAAATTTTTTTCTCATATGGTTAATAGCGTGTTATAACAGTAGAACGATGAAAGTGACTTGTAATGAATGAGTGATTAGCTGTTATTTTTAAATTATAATTATATTCTTATCTTAACATGATCGGATTAATTCACTTGTGATATTTTGATATTTTCAGCACAGATTTTTATTACAATGTTTTTCATATTTAAAAATATTGATAATTAAGAATAAAAAGAAAACGATAAAACTTTTATCAATATTTTTATTAAAGCAGTACTTTCTTAGGATTGATACAAATTGAATGGAATTTGCCTTGAATATCATAACTTTAGTCTATTCATCTTTAAATATGGTAACGATAATTAAAAAAGAATGGAGTCAATACTTATGAAACACTCTTTAAACGTAAGATTTATATATCATTCTTTAATTTTAGGATAGAAAAATTTACTATGATTGGTGGTGAAATTCAAGGTATTCTTGTTTGTGATAAAAATGGATTGCCATTAGCAAGTGAATATTGATTTACTTATTTAAATATTCTTATTTATTTTTGATTTAAAAATTAAAAAAAAAAAAAAAACAGATAAAGATGTTTCAATATCTCCTGGACCAATAGCATTATTAGCTCAATTTGCAGAATCATTATCAGGTCGAAGAACGACTATTTGTCTTGAACATAATGAAGCGTATGAAAAAAATATTTTTATTTATTATATTTATTTATCTTTCATTATAGTCAGGTGCTTATCCAACCAACGGACAAAACCGTTGTTGCTGTATATACGAAACAGGCAACATAAGTTATGTGTTAATCTATCTTAAAACGAAAAAAAAAGAATAAAACTTCTCAAATTAAATCGAGTTCAACTATTTTTTGTTTCTTTCTTGCTATAATTGATATTAACTAACTTCTGTTTTATCTTTACATTATTGTAAATTTTATTGTAAATAGCTGATGAAGTCTTTTTTTTTTTCTTTATCTTTCTGGTCATGATTACTTTAAATAAATATTTGTATAGATAGCAAGAAGAATATTAGAATGAAATTAATGTTTTTTACATCGAGATAGTTCATTTGATATTGAAGATTCAAAATCAAATTTTATAATATTCATCTTTGAAATTATTTGAATATAGTGGAAAATATAACCAGAATAGATTTAAATTTTTTATAATAGATGAACATTTCAAATAAGAAAAAAAAAGATAGATGAAATAGTTTTAATCGATTTCGTTTTTTATTTGTAGAAAGAGATTTTTCTTTCTGTTATCATTGACAAATTTCTAATAGACAACAAAAAAAATCCTTATTATATCGGAGCATCTATTCAAGAGTTTCTTCAAAAATTTTCTACTTAAATTATGTTCATTTATTTATTACGAAAAACACACGTATTTAGGTGAATTAAACAAAACAATAATACATGAATTTTCTTTAAAATATATAATGTCTATTGAATTCTAGATCTCATATTTATCCAATGAGTTCATTAACATCATCATCATTAACTTCCATAGTTTCGGATAATCTTATTCATTATTGTTCAGGTTCAATTCCAATATCCTTTACTGAACTTAATTTAAAACAAACATTACTTGGTGGACAATCATTTCGGTAAATTTTTCTTAATTATTTAATTTTATTTTTATATTTAACAGATGGATAGAACAAATATCAAATGAATTTATTGGTGTTCTTGGTTCATATATTATTTGTTTACAACATATAAATGAAAATCTTCATTATACATTTTATATTAATATTTCAAATAAAAATCTTTTAAATTTATCAAATGAAAATAATCGTCAAAATGAAACATCTCTTATTTTACATAATTATTTTCAATTATCTATAAAACTTCATGATCTATTTCAAATATGGTGTAAATCTGATGAAAGATTTCAAAATCATTTAATACCAATTGGTATACGTGTTTTAGCACAAGATCCTCTAGAAAATTTAATATCATTTATATGTTCAAGTAATAATAATGTACAACGTATAACAAAAATGATTAAATTACTTTGTATTGAATATGGAAAAGAAATTGGTACATTAAATGGTATAACTTATCATGAATTTCCAACAATAGGTAATTTAATTACACAAAGAAAAATAAAATAAAATATATATTTTTTTTTCAGATGAACTTGATAAACCAAATCTTGAAAAACATTTACGAGAATTAAATTTTGGTTATCGTGCACGATATATTCAAGAAACAATTAAATATCTTAAATATACTATTAATGATTTATCATTTTTTGATCGATTAAAATCTTTATCAGTTAAAGAAGCTCGTATTGAATTATTAAAAATTATGGGTGTTGGTAGAAAAGTAAGAAAATCTATCCAAAACAAAAATAAAAACATAAAAATTTGTCTTTTAAACAATATTTAGGTTGCAGATTGTGTTCTATTAATGTCACTTGGAAAACAAGATGTTGTACCTGTTGATACTCATATACATTCAATAGCAGTAACATATTATGGACGAAGAAAAAATTTACAATTAACTACAAGTAATTATGATGAGATATCTTCATTTTTTGAACAACTTTGGAAACCATTTGCTGGTTGGGCACAAGCTGTAAGTTTTTTTTTTGTTTTTTAATCTTACAACGAAAATCTCCCAATTGATTAGTAGCTGTTGAATAGGGACTATGTGCATTATACAGACATTAATAAGTTATAAATACTTTGCATAGAGTTCGGTACTCTTAGCGTGTTACTGCAGAGATATTGTATATTAGTAGTACTTTGTTAAGTCAATGTCGTGGTTCCCACGAGAAACATTATGAAAACTGATTTTTGTATTGACATGTTGCACAGAAAAAAAAAGCCTTAACAAGAATAGTTTGTTGTAAAAGTTTCAGATCTTTTGGTTTGCATCTATTCTAAAATAAGAAAATTGAATCAGCCCGCATATATGAAACATGTACAAGATATACTTTTATCATAGCCGTATCTTAAGATAGGAAAAGAAAAAAAAAGATCTGAAACTTTTTTAGTAATTGAAAATCAATTTTCACCATGGTCCTTAGGGAAACTATGGCATTGACTTAAAAAATACCGACAAAATATAATAACTTCGTAGCAATAAACTAAAGGCTCAATCTTTTTTTTTCAGGATAGTTCATATCTGTATGATGCATATAATCTCGATTTAATAATAATTAATCAGTTGACAGATGTACGTCGTTAGATGATTCCTCGGTTTTTTAATTATTTAATTTGTTCTTTGTTTTTTTATTAGGCAGCATTTTCTAATGAACTTCGTTCGACAAGTAATAATAAAACTAATATTAAATCAAGATCATTAAAACGTTCAATAAGCAGTTATGAAACTAATAATCAACATCAATTAGTAAAATGTAGAAAAAAAAGTTTATCAATTCAACAACAAATAAAAGAATCTTAAAAATATGCATGTATATATATATTGAGTTGACCTACATATCTATATTGTTTTCTTTGGTACAAATAAACAAAATCTAGAATATTCTTTTCTTCTATCGTATTTTTTCTAGGATAGCAAAAGAAAAAAAAAGACATTGTATATAGACAAGACAAAGAGTTTTCTGTTTTGCGTTTCTTATTCAGTCGAGGAAAAACATATGTTCGACCATGCGATTTGAATTACAAGAGAGTGTTGTTTTCTTATTAATTACCAAAAACAAAAAAAAAAAACGTGATTAATTTTTGTTCTCATAAATGAAAAATGATTATTTAGTGCGAAGAAAATATAAGACAAATATATAAAAATTCAATTAAGTGCATATATTATTTGAGCACGAAATCAATCGTTTTCTTTTCTTTTAAAGATTTCTTATTGGTTTGATTTGGAATCTAGATTTTTATAAAATATTTATTAATGCTAATTAATATAATTCATCTATCGAATAAATTTATTATTATTTAAAACTATATAATATAATTTTAATAGAAAAACATAAATAATCTGCAAAAACTTTATGATTGATAAGTGTTTATTTTTTCTTGCATGCGCACATTGCTATATAGAAAATATTTATGCTAAACTTTTGTTTCATAGTTCTCGAGATTGAATGTGTTGTGTAAATTGATTTGTAGTAATGTGTATAGTTGTTTTGAAGAGTTTCTTTCAAATAACAAATAAAATTTATTGAAAATAGAATAATCTTTTTTTTTGTTTTTATAAATTAAATTTGTTTATCATTTTTAAAAGACACATAATTATATTTGATTAAATAATTAATTAATTGTCTTTATTTATTAACTGTCAACTTGCGCACTCTATCTAAAGCATTTTTTATCATTCGTTCAAAATATTAGAAACTGTCAATTATTATTTACTGTTTATTATTTATTTCTGATCGAGCAATCAGATCAAATATAAGGCAAGAAATTTGATCAGCAAAACTATAAGAATAGAAAAAATAAAATAAAATAAAATAAAAAGAATTCTAAAAATAAACTCAATCTGATATGATTTATATGAATGAGTACACATTAATAATAAATATTCATTTATTTCTAGATGTAACTTATTATTGTATACATGTGATTTCTCAAGCAAATAACATATAAGAGAAGAAAAAAAAAAAGATTTCTAGCATAATGTCAAGTCGAATTAAATTACCATTTAAATTAGGTGATTCAAAAAAAATAAATGAAATAGAAATAAATGAAACATTAAAAAAAGATGACTTTTCATTAAGTGAAGTAAGACATTATTTTTCTTTTTTTTTTTTTTTGAATAATTTATTAAATAATCATTTAATTGAATATTAGATGGTTCGATATGGTTTTCCATACCGACCAACAACAGTTGCGTATGATCCTGTACAAAAAATTCTTGCTATTGGAACAAAACATGGTCTTATTAAAATGTAAGTTTAAATTTGTATATTAAGAAAATAAAAAATAAAAAAAAGAAATATTTTCAAATTATTAGTTATGGTGGTGCATTTGTTGAATGTTCATTACAACATCCAAGTGAAGTTGAAATTGTTCAATTAGTTTTTCGTATAAATGAAGTAAAATCTTTTTTTTTGTTTTATTTATTTTACTAAAATACGATTTCATTTTCTTTTATAAAAGGGTGCATTGATAAGTGCTTGTAAAGATAATTATATACATTTATGGAATTTACGTCAAAAGAAGCCAGTTATTGCTAATTCACTTCGATTTGTTAAAGAAAAGTAAGTTTAAACTATAAATTTGTGATGAAATCTCATGAGATATTTGATTTATCCTCTTAATATTTCCTGTTAGTTAAAAGGAAATTAGTTTTTGTTCTTAACGAGAAGAATCATGAAATAATCTTTTGAAAAAAAGAAAATCTTTCATTTCATTTTTTCTATATATTTCTAAATATAATAAAAGTTTATTTTATAATTATTTAATGTGATTAATTAATTTAATTTTTTTTTTTTTTTTTTTGAAGAATAAGTCGTTGTTTATTACCACTTGCTTTTAATTCAAAATGGCTTTTAGTTGGTACTTATTGTGGAAATGTTTATGTTGTTAATCTTGATACATTTACACTTTCATCATATAAAATTATGTGGAATAATGCTATTGGAATGTATGTATATTGAATTAATTTGTATAAAATTAATTTTGTTCGATTTTTTAATATTATAGGGGTAAAAGTTCACATCCAGGAGTTGTTGTTGATTTATGTCAAAATCCTGATGATCCAACTCGAGTAAGATAATTGATTTAATACTTAAATGTTAAAAAATCATCGGAAATGAATGTTCTACTTCCGGAACGTGACTCCGTCAAGCTGACAAGTCTTATGTATGTTATTCGTGAGAGAACCAAGAAAAATAAAACAAAACAAAATTCAATTAAATCTTATAGACGTCTGCCTTTTTGTTTTTTTTTTGAAGATTCAATATTTATTTAATTTATTATAAAAATTAATTGATAACGAAATATTCTAAAATAGTATAAGTACTCTTCAAAATATTATTGTCTTTCTAAAAACAAAAAATGTCAAGATCATATATTATATTCTTTGTTTTCTTATGTTTAACATGAAACAATACTATTTTATGAGAATAAATAATACCGGAAGTAAAGAATCTTGGAATGTATAATAATACTTTAATAAATAGGAAAAAGATGATGTTTAGAGATCTTCTTTGATAATCTCACTTTTTGTTTTTTTATTAGTTGTACATTGGATTCAGTACACATTTATCATCACCAAATAATGTTCCAGTTGGTCATGTTATTTGTTGGAATTTACAACAAAAAACATCTGAAAGTGTTTATACATTATCACAAGTAAAATTTGAAATAATTTATTTAAAAGAAAAAAAACAGAAATTTTTATTCATAGGGTTTAACATCTCTATCATGGCATTATGAAGGTCGACAATTTATGTGTTCACATTGTGATGGTTCATTATCCGTATGGAATTTACGATCTGTTGATAAGCCCGTTAGCATAAATTATCCACATAGTATAACAAAACAAAAAATCTTTTTTTTTATATTTATAAAAATATTTAACTCTTCTTCTTTTTGTTTTTCCATTAGGTCGTATTTGTAAAGATGAAACACCTAAATTTGCACCAATAGGAAAAGTTGTTTGGAGTGTTGTTAAAAACTCGTATGTTTGTGTTGGTTTCAATAAAATAAAATTTTTTCTTTTTTGAAATTCTAGTGGAGATTCATTTATAATATTTTCTGGTGGAATGCCATCACAAACTGATCAACAACAAGCATCTGGTAATAATACACAACCATCAAAACCATCATCATATTTTTTAACAATACTTCGTGGTCAAACAACAAATGTTCTTCATATGGATAATTCAATTGTCGATTTTCATGTTATATCACCATCGCCACATATAGCTGGTTAAATTTATTTTTGAAACATTTTTTTTTTTAATATTAAATTTGACTTTTGTTTGTTAAAGATGTACCTGATCCATCAGGTGTTGTTATTTTACTTGAAAATGATCTTGTTATGATTGATTTAAAAAATGAAAGGTAAGAAAATTAGTATGTTTTTTGTTTCTAGAAAAAGAAGAAAAAATCAAAATTTTATTTTAATTTTAGTTATCCTTTATTTGAAAGTCTTCATACATTAGATTTACATGAATCATCAATAACTTATTGTGATTATATAACAGAACCAAATACAAATTTTTATCAAAATCTTCTTCGTTTACATTCAAAACAAACATCTAAACGTTCATTTAGTCAACAGGTATATTGATTTTTTATTTAAATAATTTAAATCTAATATATATATATATATATATATTTTGTTTTCTTATAGGATAATCCAATATCAGGTGGTCGTTCAGGTTCAACTATATTTGGTTATAATGAACTTATTATAACTGGGTAAAAAGAAAAAAACAAATTATTTTTTTTTAGATTTCTTTCTTTTTTTGATAGTCATGCTGATGGTTCAATTAAATTTTGGGATGCATCAGGTTGTAATCTTGTATTTTTATATAAATTACGTACAAATCGTTTATTTGATCGTATACAATCAACAAATCCTATACCAACAACAATATTAAATACAAATAAAGAAATAAATTCAAATATAAAATTTGATACAAAATCAACACGTACAAATAGTGGTACAAATGATGAACAATTAATGTTAATGAATGATGATAATCCATTTAGTATTTATTCAATAAAAATGTGTTGTGAAGGAAAATATTTAATTGTTGCTGGACGTGGTGGACATGTAACATTATTTAAATTTATGGGTTCAGAATTAGATAAAGCTGATGAAGGTTTAGCTGATTTATCATGTTTAGAAATACCAATATATCATAGAAATTTATCAAATGAACATGAAGATAGTAATAAAAATTCATCTAATACAGTTATAAATGATTTACAATCAACAATTAAACAAAATATTGATAAAAAAGTAAAATTTATATTATATGATCTACAACAATTAGTCATAGTATTTAAAAACATTAGATATGAATATAAATAGACTTTTCTAATTGAATATCAAGACTTATACAAGAATAAATAGGAGTTACTTTAAAAATTCTTCCATAATCTTCAATAATTTTTCCTTATTTGAAGCTTCTGTCTGCTACGATTTTCAACATATGAATAAATTACCTTTTATCAACGAGATCAACTAAGAATCTATTTCATAAGATCAATCTCCATTTTTCATATACTATTGTCATTCTTATACAATGCTATATATGATTGAATTCTATGTCTGCAAATTGAGATTTGTGAGAAATAAAATAGAAATCACACTTCTGTCAAATATGCAACTAATTGTTGTTCGACAAACTGTTACTTTTCTTTTAAAAAATAAATACGATTTTTTTTTCATAGGACTTTAAAAGTTTACTTCGAGCTAAGAAAGGTTATCGTCGAATGGCTGGTTATCAACCAGAACTTGTTTGTTTATTATCATGGTTACCAAATGATAAAGTACCACTTTTAACTGATATATCAATTAATTCAAAATATGGATTGTATGAATCATATTTTATTTTTTATTTTTTTGCAAGAAAGAAAAAAAAAGTTTAATTCTCTTTTGAAATTTAGATTAATATTTGGATTAGAAAATGGTCTTGTTGTTATTGATTATTTAAGTAAATATATTCTTATGAATATGGTAACAAGTGATTTATATGGTACAATGGATCCATTTCAACGAGCAACATCATCACCTAAACGTCGTATTGGACCATCAACTGATTTAAATAATGATGATTTAAATACATTTTCATATGAATATCAGGTAAATTATTTTTTCTATATGAAATTTTATTTTTTATTTGTTTTTTTTCGAAATATATTTTCCTTCCCTCTCTCACCCAAAAAAAAAAGTAAAGATAAAAATTATATTCTATCTAGCAACAATCATTAACACCTAATTTACAAACAGTAACAAAAATATATAGTTTTAATAATATTGATGAAAATTTTTCAAAAAATCTTTTACAACCATTTGATTCCTGTACACAAATACATCGTTCACGATCAAATGAATCTGTACCAACAATAATAAGAGAATATACAGAAGAAAAAACATTACCATCATCAAATAATCCAACATTAGCTAAAACAATTCGTACAATACGTAAACATTTTTCACGTACAACAAATAATAAAAATGATAATCAAATTTTATTTGATCAAAATGAAATAAATAATTTTGATGAAGAATTTAATACAAATTTTTCTAAACCAACAATAACACATGTATCATTAAAACAATTATTACCAAATGATAATACATTAACATCATTTGATAATCAATTTAAAAATTGTTCATCAAATATTCAAACAAATGATACATATACATATGAAACTATGAAAGATAAATTTTCTAAACAAAATTCATATCCAACAAATGATATTTATCATCCAACAATGCAAAATAAACCAGCAATTTCAACAACTGTTACAACATATCATACACGTACTGTTACAGTACAGAGTAATTCGGGTGCGCCCATTTTTATTCTCATATAATCGAATGCAATCAAATAATATTATGAATGGGCATGTAGTCTGCAATATTTGAATTACGATTGTTTTTTTTTTATTTTTGTTGCACGCGCAATTCTATAATCAATCTTTTGTTGAATAAGAATGATATGAAATTGGATAATAAGCATTTATTTTTGTTGTCTGTTTTCATTCATTTGATTGTTTCGAATGTGATTTTTCTTCACTATATTCTTCTAGCAGCCTTCACCTCCTACTAACACTTCAATCCTAACAGAAAAACGATCTCAAGTGCCATCGACTGATATTAATACGGCACTTTGTAAGTTCCTTGTTGATATCAAATGATAAAAAAAAAAAAACGATTACTTTTTTCGGTGTTGTTCTACGTCTGTGATACTATTCCAATTGATATTCTTTATTAGCTTTGCTTTATTTTCTTGCATGTCTATATTATATAAATATTATTATTCAATAATATTTAGTTTTTGTTTTTTTTATTTTAATCTTTTTATTTAGACAAACCATTGGTTGTTGATCTTCCACGTTCATCAAGTACATCTAGTTTGGATAATATAATTACAAATGAAAGTATATGTACAATACAATTTTCTGAATCTTTTACATATAAAAATGGTTTGTATTCAAAAATAGAGAATAATAAAAATTATGTTTGATTTTTTGTTTTTTTTAATATAAAGATTTTACTATTGCACCAAGTGTTTGGCTTGGTACAAGTACTGGTTCTGTTATAGTTGTTAATTTAAATATTATTTATGAACCAAGAAATATCAGTGGTATGATTTACAGAATAGATTTAGAAAAAAAACAAAAAATATAATTTCATTCTTTCTTTTTTTTTTTTAGTTGTACCAAGTGGAACTGTTTTTCGATTAAGTGGCCGATTATTACATATTTCTTTTCTTGATCAAAAGGGAATATTAATACCATCGCCAAGTGAAAAATGGGATACAAAAAGTTAGTAATAAAAGTTATTTAAAAAGAAAAATCAAATATCATTATTCTATATTATAGAAACTAAAACAAATCGAACTACAGATGGTACACAAGAATTAAATGCATCATCAGTATTACCGAGTAGTAGTTTATCGTCTTCTCCAGTTACAAGTACTCCATCAAGTAGTATACAATATACAGTATTTTGTTCATCAAAAGAAGCTCGAGTAAATTTAATCGAATTCTTAATATCAAAATCAAATTTATTTATATATATATATTTTTTTTTAAAGGTATTTTCATTACCATCTCAAATTTGTATATCAAAACAAAAAATTTTCGATTCACTTGGTGCATCAGCATCAAATATAATGCGTGCATCGGTTGTTAAAATAGCAGGTTAGATCAAAAATAAAAATAAAAATATTTGTTCTTTCTTTTTTTTGTCGTCTCCAATAGGTTCTGCTTGTTTAACATGTTATTTATCAGCTGGTCGTATACAAGTTTATAGTTTACCTAGTTTACGTGAACTTTTTAATACAAGTCTTGATTCAGCTATGGATTCATTTAGAGCAATGATAGGTTTAACATTTACATTTACAAATCGAGGTCATGGACTTTATATGTGTTCACCAACAGAAATTCAAAAAATTACACTTTCTGCTGATGTTAAGTATGTATGAGTAGAATTTATTATATTTCAACAACAATTTAACATAAATAGATTACAGACAAATAGATATTAAGTGTCATGAAGTTTAGTAGGTATCAGAAGTGTTCAAAGGGCAGGATAGGATCAGATTTTTATGCTCTGCGGAGTTGAACATCAAATTTTCAAGTTTTTACCTTCAGAAATTGAAAATAGATTACAGAGGGTGTGGGTGTGGTGGATGTGGGTAGAGTATGAAAATATCACTGTGAGTATCTCTGGTAAGCATGTTACTATACCAGTGCGGTATTAGTATTGGTTAATGTTGGTATTAACATTAATTAATACAAAATACCGAGTTGTCATGACTGAGTAGTTACGTCCTTCGACACGTATCCAAAAGGTACTGTGTGTAAATCTCAGCACCAACAACCATGGAATGATCCTAGACAAGTTACTAACTACTATTTGTCTCAGATCACCTATCCGATAGCATGCTGATTATGTTGTGACATATAACTGCTATTGTAACTAGTTAGTGTGTACGAGGAACTACAGAGCTAGTATTAATTCTAGGGAAAATATTGGACAATTGAATCCGCTGCTAGGCAACACCTCATACTGCAAGATAGCTGAAAGGCAGGAGTATTCTTCTTCTTCTTCCTTTCAATATCAAATGGTGTTCGTATTGTGATATGTTTAAAATTTAGAATAGAAAACTTCATTATTTTAAAGAAAAATGATTTAATATTAATATCGATTTTCTTTTATATTTATCTAGAGAACAAATTAATGAAATGCTTTGCGAATTATATAGTCCATCAATATCAATGCCTGAAGCACCAAAACAAAATTTTTTTGCTAAACTGTTTGCTTCGAATTCAATGATTGATTCAGATCAATTATGTAAATTTCTTTAAAATTTAAAGAAAACACAAACTTCAATATATTTTAATCTTTTTTTTTTTATTTTAATAGTTGGTGAAACAGCAGGAAAAGCTCCAGCTGGTATTATTAAAAAAGAAGATGTTAATGTTAACATGAATCAATTACGTGGAACAGCTGAATCAACAAATAGTGTTATACATGATACACGAATGGTGAGAAATGATTTTCTTTTTAATTATTTTTTTTTTGTTGTTTTGTTTATTTAATTAGAAATTACTTGAACGTGGCCAAAAATTAAATGAAATAGATCTTGCATCAAAACAAATGGCTGAACGTGCTGAAGAATTTGCTAGTCTAACACATAAAGTTATGTTAAAACAAAAAGAAAAAGCAGAATGGTCATGGCCATTTACATCAAAAAAATAGTGATTGATTTTTATTTTTCATTTTGAATTAATTGAAATATTCTATTCTCTTTAATCGGATCTTTTTTTGTTTTCCTACCTTATACATGAGTGCAATATATCCTTAATTTCCCTATTTTAATCGCACTAATGTTGTTCATTATTATTGTTGTTGTTCTTGTTCTTGTTGTTCTTGTTGTTGTTGTGTATGTGGATTTATTTTATAGTTTTTTCGCGATCGACACATGCAATAATTCTTCACAGACTACATACATACAACTAATTCATATGTTTTATTTTGTATTTGTATTTACGACGAACAGTGACTTTAATTATAATCAAAAATATGTATGTGTAGAAACGAAAGAAAATAATATTTGATAATAGAAATGTTTCTATTTCTGGTCATAAAGAAAAAGTCATTTTTTTCTCTTCTTGCCCTTTTGAGTGTTTATCTTTCTTTTTTTTCTCCAAATGATGATCTCATATATGGAAACCCTCGTTTTTTTTTTCTCTACCTAATTTGTAATCCCTCTTATATTTTTGTTGGTGTTTAAAAGAAAAAAGAATCTTTTTACTCGTGCGCGTATTCAAATAAAGTGGCATCGTTTATTGAAAAACAAAGGCCAAAAAATTTTATGTATACAAGAGTAATACTTTGATTAAATTGATCATTGTAATTAAGAATAACAAAGACGAAGACATACATTCTACATCGAATGTAATCTATATTTCAATTGTATTTACTTGTTACTGGTACTAGTGATATTAGTGTACTAGTTTTTCATCTTATGGAAGAAATTCTATAACTGATTAATCGCTTCTGAGAAAAGAATTCGAGCTGATCAATTGTTGCTACTGACATATGACATTGTTACGATATTTTGTAAGTCAATGCTGTGGTTCTCCTAGGCAACAATAGGAAAACTGATTTTTCATATTTCGAATCGAAACATTGCGTAGCGATAGACCTTAATAAGAATAGTTTATTGTGAAAGTTTAAAGTCTTTTCAATGGTTCTATCTTAAGAAACGATTATGATCAAAGGATGTCTTTTATATCGCTTCTTATTTCATGATGGGAACATATCAAAAGATCTGTCATCATTCGAAGTTTCGATTCGAAATACAAAAACGAATTTTCCTGAGGTTGCTTAAAGGAATCATGGCATTGACCTAAAAACTACAGTAACAACGTAACATTTCAGCAGTAATAATTAAACAACTCGAACTCTTTTCATGGTATTTGTAGCTGATTAGAATCTACATGATATTCATAGTTACATCCAAAAAATGATTAATTAGTTGAGAGATTTTCCTTGTTAGTTCCTTGTATTGTACAATGAAATTTTAATGATTTTATTTCGTACATGAATAAGTATTTCAAGATTTGAATAGGATAACATTTGACAAAAATGATCCATTATGTTTACTTTTTCAATTAGAACTTTTAACATCGCAGGTGAATCTGTAGCTATAACCCAGACCCGAACACCAACATTTAATGAGACTTCAACATTTCAAAATATATCTATTTTTCTCAAGCTGCTATTTATATATTAAATCATATGAATGAAGATCTGAACAATTTCTTGTACTTGAGAATAGATCACAGAAGTAGAAAGTGGTATCGTTTTACTAAAAGAATTCGTTTTCAATGAAAATTCATCTATAGATGATGATGAACTATATGATCAAATAACTAAATACAGGGAGAAGAAAATGAATTTAATGCTGCATTCCATTCTAGCATCATCAGCAACAAACAAACATATACTTAGCAAGCGAAAAGTCGTACCTGTTCAGGACATTAGTTTTGAAATAACGTATTAGAAAAAAAGAAAAGATATTTTTATTTCTGAAGTTCAGCGATATGGTTTTGATAATATTCATGAATTGAAAATCTATATATAATATTTCTGATTGAGAAATTAATATTATTTCTTTTGTTTTTTTGTTTTAACAAAATCATTTCAATCTGATCAACTGAATTCGAAAATATTTATTAGTAACTTGTATTCTTTTATTTATTTGTTTAAAAATTTTGGATCAATTACAAATGAAAAATCATCAAAGTTATATTCATTATATAAATCATCATCTGTTTTCTTAGCCATTACTTCTCCGTTGATGATTTTTTTTATTGCTTCTAATGTCATTATTAATAAATGTGGACTAATTTTAGGAATATTGTGTGATGACACAATTAAATCGACTTTATTATTTTTAATCAAACATACTAATTTTTCTAATGACTTTATATAATCTTCTAAATTTGTTTCCGGTCTATAAAGATAAATAGGACCTGAATAGAATATATCTCCAACAAATAAAAGTCGTTCTTGTATATCTAATAATGATATTGAATCAGGTGTATGACCAAGAGTAGAAATCACTTTAATTTTTCGTTCATTTCCAAGATCAATTATATTATCATCAGATATAAATTTACTTATACGATATGGTTTAATTCGATAAGATTTTTTATCAAAATCTTTTGGTAAATAATCTTCACAAATCCTATCATTTTTCATATCATTTTGTGCTTCAGTAAGAAGACTATGATCATTATTCTTAGAAAATTCACATTCAATACCAATTAAAGATTGTTCAAAACGCCAATTATCACCAACATGATCATGATGTGTATGTGTATTAATGACTATTAATGGTACAGATGAAAGTTCATTAACAACTTTTTCAATATTTCCAATGCCCATTCCAGTATCAATAAGAAGAGATTTTTTCGGACCAACAATAAGATAAGAAATTACTTCTTGATAGTGATATGGTTCATAAATAGCAAAAACAGTTGGATGAATAGCATATACTTGAAACCATGATTCACTAATTGAAATACGTTGAAGTGAAGAATATTGAGAACGAGGTAATTTATCAAACCACGATGACATTATTGAAATGATGATTTATTTTGTTTTACTATTTTATAGACAGAAAGCAAGTAAACAACTGTGTCTAGGTTTTTTTCTTCTTTTTTTTTGTGTTTGTTGTCATTTTTCTGGGCACGTGTTATGATATGTTAAAGATTGTTTGTGTTGTAGAGAAGAAATGCATGACATACTTATTATATAAACATGGAGAAATAATATTTCAAAACAATCGAATTCATTTAATAAGATACATTATCTCATGTAAAGATTATTTCTTTCCATTAAATTCAATAAATCTTTTCATAGTTATGAATATTGTGCAATATTTTCTTTATTTCAAAAAGTATTATCATAAAAACAAGAAAAATGAATGAAAATTATCTAATATAAAGATTATTCGTTACAATTAAATTCAATCATATAAATATGTATTGCTAATTATTTTTTTTATAAACATTAACTTTTCTTATATTACTATAAAGCATTTTCACAACAGTTTGCACTAAAATACATAGTCTAAATTATAAACAACTAAACGATAAAAAATTCGAATATCTTCGTTTCGGTGTATGCAAATTAGTTGATTGTTTTGTTAGTGATATAGACTTATTCAAAGTGGTTTTTTATATAGATAACATAAACAAACACTGCTTTGCAATTTTATTGTTGACTTCATAAAAGAAATCTAAGTTGTTATCAAATAACAAAAAAACATCCTAGATATGAAGTGATTCATATAGAATTTTCTATTCTCATCGAAGATAATAACAAGAAAAATTCGATTAATTCTAGTTAATTAAAATATACAATAAAGAATATGATAATATGTGATGAGCAAACTCACTATTTTTCATAAAATTTTCATTTTTTCTCTGTCAAGATCGTTTGTTTTCAGAATAAGAACGATCGTACAATGAAACAAGACATCCGCACACTCCTGCCTTAAAAAAAAATTGTTTATGCATCTTTCTATTTCTTGAAAATTTTTTCTGGCACATCCCTTCTATTTTTTTTTCTTCGTCACACCTCTGCACACCATTAGATCTCTGAAACAATGATTTATCTAACTTTGCTGTAAAAATCAGTATACCATGTTTTGAAAATATGAAATAAATATAACCATTGACTTTTAAACAACTAATATTAAAAGTTTGCTGTATGTGCCTCAATGTAATATCGTGCATAAAATTTGTTAGATTATCTTCAATGAGAACAGAAAATTATCTTATGTGATAACAACTTATATATTTCTTTAATGTACTTAATAATAATACTTTGAAAGAAAAATATCTGTTTATGTTATTCATATGAAGATCTCATTTGATTCCACTAAAATAGAGATATTCCTTTTTTTTTTTATCGTATAGTTATTTTTGTTCGTATTATCTTGGTTATTATTCGACAAGAATTAAAAATAAATAAAATAACCTAAATCAGAGAATATAATCACAACGGAACAAAAAGAAAATTAACTTTATGTTATATTGATAAAGTATTCAATGTAAAGAATTAATTTTTTGTAATATCTCCAGATTCTTTTGATAATGATTGATAATAATTAGCTAAAACTTTCCATCCTGCTGGTACCATAAATCCATCGGGAGGTTGTTCACCATTTCGAGCAATCTTTCTCATTCGTGTACCAGATATAAAATCAAATTCATCATGTTTATTTGGATCATAAAAAGCCATAGTTTTCAAAGTACGATGATAAGCAGCTACTTTAAATGGTAATATATGTAATTGATTAAGACCAGGTGCCATTGTCAGAACTTTTGAACCATGTGTTGGATCATAAAGATCTTTGGATTTATCGGATGGATGAGGTAAACCAGCTGGATCACGACCAACAATATAAAAATTCGCTCCAGTACACATACGAGCTTTAGCATGCCATTGTACTTCAGTTGGACCTGCATAACTCATTGGTGATGGAAATATAGCAAGAACAGTTCGAGAACGATCAAGTCTATCGTCTGTATCTTCATTTAAAAAAGCTTGATGTTGAGCCATACGTACAGCTAATGGAACATCATCTTCTTTCGTCCAACCACCTTTAAGAAAAAAAAAAAAGAATCAAGAATATTAAATATATGTTAAAAACAAAAAAGAAAAGATGAATATCGACCTAAAGGATGAAGAAGAAGAACAGGATTATGAAATCCATGATCTTTTAACCATTGACGGGTTGTTTCCATAAGAAGGGAATGTCCATTATGAATTGGATTTCGAAGTTGAAAAGCAAATACAGTATCAGCCTAATAAAATGAACAAAAAATATTTATATATTTAAAAATCTACTTTATTTTTGATTTTCTTTACTTTCATTTCACGAAAATGTTCTCGTAATTCATTTGGTGTTAAACGAAATTGATCAAGATCATCATTCCATCGAATTCTTTCAAGTACTTCAAGATCACCACCAATTAACCAATCACCACTTTCAAGAATCATCTATATATAATATAAAAATAATATTTAAAAAACTTAATTAAAATATTTCTTTTTAATTACTTTAATATGAGGATGTTCAGAATTTATTGTACCGAAAATTCTTGCACAACGTTCTTCTTTTCTATGTTCATAAAATTCAGATTTTTTTAAAACAGCAACAAATTTTCCATTATAACATAGAGCAATTGTTGAAGATGATTTTAAACGTTCTTTATCTTCAGTTGTACATGGTAAAACAATTGGAATTGTTTGATTTGCAATATGACCTTTTGTTTTTTTTTGAATTCTTAAAAATAAGAAAAAAAACAAACTAAATTTTTTAATAGGGATATTCACCTTTCATTAAACAACCAAAATGTAAACATTGTAAATATTCTACTTCACGCATAAAACCAGCAAGTGGCGTTGCCCAGCCTTCACTTAATACTTGAATCCATTGTAAATCTAACTAGAAAAGACATAAAGTATCAATATTTTTACTAATAATTATATTTTCTTTTTTTTTTTTATAATTTACTTCAGTAATATCAAGTTTATTTAAATTTGGAAATTCTATCAATGCTTTTTCACGCATATCTTCATCCATGAAAAGTTCATGTACAGCAAGAATTAATGTTGGTGATAAAACATTCTAAATAGATTAAAATAATTTTTCTTATAGTTTTAAAAAATATAAAACATAATAGAATTGCTTTCATTATGAGTATAAATTGTTAATACATATCCCTGTTATATTACAAAACTAGAATATTGATAATGCATCTTTTATATTCTATGTATAAAGTGGACTGTAAAAATTTAAGATACTTTTATTTTTGAAGTTTTTCATCGAAGATGAATAGCTAGGTCAAATCCGAATAGTGATTTGAATAGCTCTTGAAGTTTTCTATCGAATACAATATGTGTCAAATTTTCAAAAATCTATCTGTCAAAATTCTTTAGGACTTAAAATCTTCCCGGCATGGCTTTCTGGAAAACTCTCTTCATAAAGTTTCTTTTGAAAATTTGACATATATTGTATTCGATAGGAAATTTCAAAAGCTATTCAAATCATTATTTGGATTTGACCTAGCTACTCATCTTCGATGAAAAACTTCAAAAATAAAAGTGTCTTAAACTTTTGCGATCCACTTTATGTCATAGAATGAAAATGCTGGAATAAAACACTTTTTTTATGTTTAATAATATCGATTCAAAATGAAAAGAGATTTTAATATACTTTCATTTAAAAATAAATAAACTTACACGTTCAGCTAATTTTCCTATGATCATTTCAATAGAACGATCAATGGATATTATACTTGTATCAATTATTACTTCAGGATGTGCTGGTGCTTGATATGGTGCATCAATACCTGTAAAATCTAAATAAATATTTTTATATTAATAAAACAAAATAACAATATTAAATAAACTATTCAAACTTTTAAGTAATCCTTGTCGTGCTTTATGATATAAACCCTTTGTATCTCGTTCTTCACATATAGATAATGGTGTATTAACAAAAACTTCAATAAATGGAATTTGTGAATCTTCATGCAATTTTCTAGCACATTCTCGATCCTATTGATTGTTTTTTAAATAACATATGATTTTTTTTTTTTTGATTAAAAATATTACTTCTACAAATGGACTAATGAAAGCAACAATACACATGAGACCAGCATCGGCAAATAATTTTGCAACTTCAGCAATACGTCGAATATTTTCAACACGATCAGTATCAGAAAATCCAAGATTTTTATTAAGACCACATCGAATATTATCACCATCAAGACAATAAGCTGGTAAACCTTTGCTTACTATATATTCTTCTAATGCAAAGCTTGAAAATAGAAAAAAAACAAACAGAATATTAGTCAATAGAAAACAAAAATTTTCTCTTACGCTACAGTTGATTTTCCAGCTCCTGAAAGTCCTAGATAAGAAGAAAAAAATATCTCAATAGACAAAAAAACAAATACGTTCCAGTCAAATAAAAATATTTACCAGTTAACCAAACAGTTGAACCTCGAAATGCTCCACGTTGTCCCAATGCTGCTGCACGTTTTTCACGCGTAAGTTTTGATACATGATAAAAAATGTTTTCTTGACCCTAATAAATAAAGATATTTGAAAAAAAAACAAACAAACATATATCCTTCACTAAGACAATAGGAAAAATTCAAGTGCACTAGTCGTACTTTATCGGACATAATTGACTGTATCGATGAAGGCTATATATAGAAAACTAACGCAATATATTTTATTTAAAATGTAATTTTTGTCTTTTTCTGCATGAGTGATTTCTAATATCTAATATATGATTGTATATAAAAAGAAAGAAAAATATTATTTTACCTGAACGTTTACATATGAATTATGATTCTTCTGTTTTATCGAAATAGATTTTTTTTCAATTTTTGGTTTAACTAAATTATTTATTATTTCATAAAGTTTTTTAAGTAAATTATTTTCATCATTAACAATATTTAATGATAAATTATATGTTGATATAAGATTAATTAAAGAATTCCAATCAATAAGATCAGATGATTGTTTTAAAATAATAAGATTAATTGTAGAAGAAGAATTTGGTTTTAATAATGATAATAAATCAGGTAATGATTTTGATACTGTGGAACAATAACAAATAATTGATGGAAATTCAAATGATTGAGATAAATCAACTTGAATATTATAATCTACATTAGATTTAATAAATGTTGACGATATACATTGTTGAATAAAATTTTGTTTTTTAAGAATATTGCCAATAAAATTCACATCATCTGTATTTATCTGGCATTGAAATAATGGAATCGATGACATTTAATTTTTTTATATTAAAATCTATTAATGTGAAAGATAACACTAAAATAATTAATTATAAATTGTCGAAGAACTTAATCGATGCCAAAGTCGACCGAAAATTATTAATTAGTTAAAATCACCGTGAAATCAGATGAGGGTTAAACAGATTAAACAAACTAACTAAATGGCATATAGGTTAAGCTCATAGTGTGAAGTACATCTTCAAATTGGACTAATTGTTTATGAGATTATAAAACTTTCGCATATAGTCGAAATATTAAATTTAGCGAAACAAAAAAAAAACATGTTTCTATATGATACAAAGTAGAACAATGAGTTTAATACACGCTTAATTCTCTAGACATCACAAAGCATGTTTTGTGTTGGCTGAAAATCAATCAATATCAGAGATGAGATCGGTTCGTGTCTCTTCAGAACCGAACCAATTCCATCACTGATAGATATTGTATCGAAAACCTATGGAATTTATGGTACTCTGGTGTACGAGAATTCTCATCTGATAAAAAAAACGAATAATCCTTTCTATGATTGTTTACAATATGTTTTTCTTCGAAAAATTTTTATTTTTCATTGAAATCAGAGTTTGTTTATCTGTCTCTGTGAATTCGCAAATTTGCGTTTCGACCAATCCAATGATAGAAGTCAGAAAGAAATGTTTTTGAAGTAGCCATTATGGAATTCATTACAAAGAAAACTCTATTAAAAAATAACAGCATGCTTTTAATAAAGAAAATTGATCAATTTTTTCTCTTTCCGATTCATTATTTATCAACAGTTGTATTCGCGTGACTGTCGTAACTATGAACAAAGAGAATGGTAACTGTTGTTTTTGTTTTAAATGCCTCAAAGGCAAAAAAGAATCAAGGCTACCGAAATTTCCTTTTTTTTATTTTGATGACTTACTGTAGGAAAATGAAACGCGCAATTGAAGATAGAAAAAAAAAACGGACAGTATTAATTCGATCATAAAATTTCATTCTCATGTTTAGACTAGTATTTCATTACTTGTCGTTCTCAAGATCTTTGTGACATTAAATAAGAATTTTGGATGCTTACATCGAGTAAAAAGAAAAATAACATAAAATAAGAACTTTGAATGCTTACATCGAGTAAAAAGAAAAGTAAATATATTCCCGCAGCGCTAGCCAAGTAAATATTTTGCGTTATACTGCATTAATAATAAAAATATCTCGATGAAATCACATTATCAACACTGATAACAATAAATGCTTGACATAAAAGAAAAAAAAAAGTACGTAAAAATAAAGACCGAAAGATACCAAAAACGAAAAAAATATGTTTTTGTTTTTTGATGAAGTATACGACTAGAACGATAAATCGTTTAATAACCAACTTCGACATTGATTAAGGTATTATAGAGCTAAGAAAGCGGGGGAGGGGGGGGGGGAGAATAATCGATCTCATGAAAAGTGTCAAAATGATGTACTTGCACTACGTTTTAGTAGCAAGGTCTGCATTCTGATTGATGGATAAAAATAATAGGTAGTAACGACAAGGCAATATGATCCGGTTGATTTAACCGCGATCTTAAATCAATAAAAAACCTTTGACAGTCCGACATTTTATGATTAATTGATTTTTTAGTTAAATTTGATTCGATAATCTTTTGAATGGTTTTAGTAAGTAATCAATGTGAATTTTTCAAACAGATGAAAAATAAAATAAAATAAAATAATAAAATATATATTTTTTTTGTTCTGTTCTAAGCAGTGAATAGACGAGAAAAATCACTCGAAACGATTTATTGCTTTTGAGTTCTTATTTAAAGCATATAGAAGAGATTTCTAGACTAGAATAACCTAACGATAGGGAAATCGAATAAATGATTTTCTTTTTTATCTGAAGGTGAAGCTAATCGTAAGAGTACGTCATTGAGATGGAACGAATAGTTGTTCTTACTATAGCCAGGAAAAGACTAGTATTTTCGAAATAACATTTGTCGTTTTTTATCTCTGATTTCCGCTTTTCTATCATCTGTTATAGATTATTGTTGTCAAAATAAAAAAACAGAATTTAGCAATCATTTGAAATTTGCAACGACTTCGTAGATCTAATCTTTCCAAGAATATCGATAATATTACTGTCAAAATGATTGCTTTCTTCTTAAGATATTCAAAAATCGATTCGATTTCACAAAACTCAGAAATTTCTAAATGTAGAATATTTCAAAAAAAGGGAAACTATCGTTTTGATTCGAATTTCTAGAATACTGTTAAAATCAAGAGATTTACTCATTGACAAAATCTACGGTGAAAAATCCATTGTTCAAGTTTCTTGTCAATATCCTATCCTATAGTTACAAAAATCCAGCCAAACTGTCATATCTCTCTGGTGAGAAGATCAATGAGTTCCAATCCTTTTGGAATTATCCTAATGTAGAGCTTTTCTCTTCACTTAAAAGTAATAAATCTACAAAATATGCTAATCTATATAAATACGTAAAATAATACTAACACTTATATTTTCCATCTAAATTCAAGAATATTTTAATCTATGAAAGAAATCTCGAGTAAATACTTTACTGAACATCATGCTGTAATGTATAATAATTTATTTTATCATCAGTCATATAATACAAAAAACATCTGCCTTTTCTTTTCCTCAATAAATTTCTTCGGCATGATTATTAAGACAAAAATAAAATAATAATAAAACTTCTGGTTTACCTCATGACATTTCATTTTGCATAAAGCACATGCTGTTTGATGTCATAAAATTCTTATCCAAAAAATAAAAAAAAATAAAAGACAATAAAGATTACTTTCATCAGTCAAATTGTCCTTCTTTTATATTAATAAATTCGTTCTTTATATTCTTGTGAAACAGAAAAAAAAATGAAAAATAAAGGAACCATCATGATTTTAAGAATATCTTTCTTTTTTTTTTTTTTTTTGTAACATGCCATAGAAATAAACAATAAATGAAACGAATTAAAAAGAAACAAGAAAAAAAAATACATGTGTATCGAGACAAACTATTCATTTTTTTCGTTTTTATTTTCTTTATAGTATTGTCTATAATTCACTGTGTATAACCTTTATTTTTTCTTCTAATTGTTTCAAAGAACGTTAAATATTTTTTTTAATTCAATCATTAACTGCCAATCAGATTTTTGCATATCATCACGAAAATGATCTTTAACAATATCAATTGCTTCACGCGAAATCTAAAATCAAAATATTAATATATTGATTTAGTATTTTTTGCTACATATGAAATAGTTAAGTTTTCTTTTTTTTTTGTCTTTACTTTGCTCATTAATAAATCATTTTCATCAAAATGTCGACCAAACATTTTCGGTGCTTCACCACTAACTGGATCAATTTTAATACAAACTTCTGAACCTTTTCTTGCTACATCTAATGGTTTATGATTTAATTCAATACTAACAATTCGACCAAGTTCAATAAACTATAGAATTTATTTAATGAAATAGGTTTTTGTTTTGTTTTTTAAATTATACATACTTCTTTTGATGGAACACATATTGGTGTACCTAATTTAACAATGCCATCTTCAATAATTACACCACATATAATTGGATCACGTGAATTAAATATATATTGTGGTAAAACTCTTAATTTGCATGGAAATACAGCAAGATGTCGAAATTTTTCTTGATTTTCTTTTTTAACACGTTCACGATGAGCAACAAACATATCAAATAAATGATAAATTATATCATCTTGAAAGATTTTTACACCTATATTTAACAAAACAAAAAAAAACAGTTGTTAGTACAATCCTTGAGGGATTAAAATATAATCGATAGTTTTTAAAAGTACAAGGAATTAAACATTTGATATACAGTCGGAAGCAGTTTGTCTAGTACACAGTGACTGAGAAAAGTTGTCTTCTAAAACTTGACAGACAATTTATTGACGACAACTCAAAATTTTCGTAAAACACGACATAAAAACTGAAAAGGAGGGAACTGACCCACTCCGCCACTTTCATATCGAAATCTTTGACTGATAAGATAGTTTGTGAGTGTACACAAATTCTAGCCTATATACTTCAACAGTCATTTTGGATCGTGTTTTTAACGTACCAACGGTATCAGCATGGTCTTGAGCATCTTTTTCAATTCGAACATCGAATGCTAAAACCACTGCCCATCTAAATAAATAAATGTTCATATTAAAAAACGAACAACAAAGTGTAAAAGAGATAAATATAAATTGTCTTTTGTTACTTACTGTGGATCTCTTTCAAGTTGTGTTGATGCACGAATAATATCTTTTCGATGTACAGGACCAATATTAATACCAGAATACTAAAATAGATATATTCTAGATTTAATTTCATTGTTCTTTTTTGTTTTTTAATCATTGAAATATTTTACCGGAATATTTGATGTTTTTAAGAATTCAAGTAAAGCTTCTAATGAACCTAATGTTGATGCTTGAACATAAACACCATTTTCTTTTAATTTAATTGAACTAAGTGCTGTTTTAAGAATATTTTGAATTTCATTTTTAAAATATTCAGTTTCATCATTTTTTCGACCAACGAATAATGGTAAACCAGCCATAGATTTTTCTAAATCTTTAGCAGCAACTTTTATACCACGAGCAGCTTTTACTGTTTTATAATTTTGATATTGATTCTAAATTTTAAAATTATATATAGAAAAACAAAAAACACACAAAAATTTTATTTAAAAAAACCAAACAAATAACCTACTCGAACACGTAATTCTCTATTTGGTTCTGGCATAAGAAGACCTCGAACTTGTGTTACAATTGGACCTTCTTGACCAGCAACAATAATTGTATCACCAACTCGTAAATGTCCATTAACAAGAACAACATCAATTGTTGTACCTAAACCACCAATGGCTTTTACCTAGAGTATAGAAATAAATAATAATCTTTTATTTATTCGTTTATCAAGTGTATAGATTAAAAATATGGAGCACTCTATTGATTATGACCTACTTCAATGAACAATGTAAGTCATTCAATACAATTGGGCAATGCTACAAAATTATTTGATTGATAGAATACTTCATGCCTGAGTCATCTTTTCTTTTATATTTTATGAATATTTTATTTTATCGTTATTTGCATAATGAACTATACCACATTCTCGGAAGAGCTTTGAGTCAGTGACGAAGAGAGTTTAATGAAGCAGTTAGTCGATAGAAACAAAGAGATAATCCAGTCGTGAAACATTTTGTCAACCAACTAATTTGCAGTATTACTCAATTGTGTTGAAAGACATATATTCTTCATTGAGATAAACTGTCATCAATCATAAACTTCAATACAATCAAGTACTTAAGTCATCCTTGTAACCAGCATTCACTTGTCTCACTAACGGACTCTCTAATGGGCTCTTTACTCTCTATTACCTTCTAGTGAGTTTCTTTCAGCACTGCATTCTTGTATATATATATATAAGGTGGTGGAAAAAAGTTTAACAGCAATGTATTTTTGATTTTATTTTTCTATAATGTCAAGAAATTAGCTCAAATCCAGATAATGATTTTCACAACAAATGGAGTTTTCTATCTAATGCATTTAATACTAGGTGAACGATGGTCACAAGGTTTCTAAAAAACCGGACATGATAATTATCAGGCCCGAGAAGACTTTATTGAAGCAATTTATTAACAATACCATTTTAAAGAGAACAAAATAAGGGATCGCTACATTTTGTTTTCTTTAAAATGACATTGTTAAAAAATAGCTCGAACAAAGTCTTTTGGTACCTAAAAACTACCCTATTCCATCATAGTTCATCTAGTATACAATGCATTAGATAGAGAACACTATCGGGTATGAAAATCTTGATTTGAATTTGAACTAATTGCTTAACATTATAGAAAAAAAACCAGACATTGTTGTTAAACTTTTTTCCACCATGCTATATATGTATCTGTTGCTTAAAACAATAAAAAACATTGTACACACATAAGATAATACTTATCTCTGGCTAGCAACTAATGTCGGCGCCAAAAGTAAATGGTGAAAACTCTGAGAGGAATATCTCCCGAACGGATGCAGCTAGCGACCTGCGGTTTTCACCAATCGAAAGAGGAAGAGTGGGGGCGTCTTTTTCTTCGATAATGTATAAGACGGAATCTTTTTATATCTAATCATATTCGAAGAACATGCAAAAGAACCCATGAAAATGACCTGCCAGCTAGATGAAATTTTGATTTGAGCTTTGGTTTAGATAGAGAAACTTGAGATCTATAATTCCAGACACAATGTGCTTGCTTACTTTTTCCTACATTTTCCTCAAAATCTCAAGCTACCTTGATAAAAAGTGTAAAAGCTTAGTAAAAACCTAGCGAAACTCCCTATGATTTGCTCATGTAAGTACATGATCCCATTTGCGCAATGTTAGAATGTAATGAGACAACCATTTGCGTTGTATCTGGAACTGTAGATCTCAAGTCCCTCTATCTAAATCAAAAGTGAAAATCAAAATTACATCTAGCTGGCAGGTCATTTTCATGGGTTCTTTTGCATGTTCTTCGAATATGATTAGGTATAAAAGGATTCCGTCTTACACATTATCGGAGAAAAAGACGCCCCCACTCCTCCTCTTTCGATTGGTGAAAACCGCAGGTCGCTAGCTGCATCCGTTCGGGAGATATTCCTCTCAGAGTTTTCACCATTTACTTTTGGCGTCGACATTAGTTAATGATCGACTAACTTCCCAACCTAATTAATCGATATTCATTAAAAGTCTGAAAAGAATAACTCCCCAATAGTTCAATCAATAGCTTTTGTCTCTCTAATGAAGATCAACATATGTTATTGCTAAAATCCTTTTAAACATTTATTATAATTTTTAATTTTTTTCATATCATTTATTATTATAATATGATATTTTCTATAACGTTTGCTTTATTTTCCTTTTCAACTGTCATATATATAGTTTTAATACTATAATGAAAAATCAACTAACCTCCATAACAGTTGCTTGTAATTCATCAGTATATGATAAACGTTTAGCTAAAGTTGTTTGACATATTTCAATAATCATTGAAATTAATGAACCCATTCCATCACCAGTATGTGCTGATGTTGGTATCATAGAATAAAATTCATTTGGATCAGGATTTTTATAATAAAGTGCAACGTTAAGACCCTAAAACAAAAAAGAAAAGAAAAGAAAATATTTAATTTTTTCAAAAATAGAAAAAAAGAAAATAAATCTTTTTATTTATACTTGTTCAGCAAATTGAACAATAATATCATTACAACGTTTATCAAATTCATTTTGTGTATTTTGACCTTGTTCTTGTAATACAAGTTCAACATTTTTTTTATTATCACCTTTCCAATTATATAATCGATCGATCTAAATATATAAAAATAAAACAAAGAATTATTATTTAAAACAAAAAATTTCTTTCAATTAATTTTTAACCTTATTAAGTGCAATAATAAATGGTGTTTTTCTATCCATTATTAATTTTATTGATTCAAGTGTTTGTTGTTCTAATCCATGCATTAAATCAACAACAAGTATAGCCAAATCACAAAGAGATGAACCACGTGAACGTAAATTTTTAAATGATTCATGTCCAGGTGTATCAATAATTAAAAGACCTGGTACAATATATTCACCTTCACGTGTTATTAATTTTCTACACATTTTCGTTCGTTCACGTAATGTTTCTAATGGTACATTTGTTGCACCGATTTGTTGTGTTATACCACCAGCTTCACCATCTTGTACATGTGTACGACGTAGATTATCTAAAATTTTTGTTTTACCCGTATCAACATGACCCAATACACAGATAACAGGTGCACGAAGTACTTCAGATGAACGACGACTTTCACATAATTCATGACGTCGTTTTAAACGACGACGTACACGTTCCATAGGTGTTGTTTGATCATTATCATCTTCATCAGTTGATGAACTTGTTTCATCACTTTCATCTGTTGATGTCTCTTCATCGGATGATTCACCTTCTGAACTTTCATTATTTTCATTTGTAATTGTTGTTGTTGATGGAATAGAACTTGTCTGTTGAAAATTATTTCGATTATCTATGAAATATAAAATTAGATTAGAGAAAAAAATTTAACATATGATTTGAAGAATTATTTTGATTGATTTTTGTTTTGTTAGAAATAATTAAAGGACTTTTCTGTTTTTATCTTTTTTTTTAGTAATATCCGATTGCGAAGGAGGAAACAGCAGGAATTTCAATCTTGAAGTTCCTACTGTTTTCTTCTCGTCGGTTTATATTTGTAAATTTTATAAGTTAATTCATAAGAAATTTAGATAATAAGTAAAATTATTATTCTCAAAATTGAATTTCAAATGGAATTCAATCGAATTCATTACAATGATTGTTAGTAATCTAAAGTGATCTATTGAATGTGTAAACGTCTATTATTATTATACTTTCTAATTTTTACGTAAGACATAAGTATATATTACTTTCTGTTGATGGACTTTCTGGTTCTTCAGCATTAATTGTTTCTTCTTCAGATTCTTGTTCCCAATTATCTTTCAAATTTTCTTCTTCCTAGAAAAAAAGAACACAAATGTTTTACGAGATAAATCTTTCTAACTGAAAAATTGCCTTTGAATTCGAACTCTATACATAAAGTAGATTCCGATCAAATGTTAAAAAACTTCAAAAAGTATACGCTCTC